ATAATATACACCTGGAAGATACTGGAGGGCCAAGTACCAAATCTACACAGTAAAATAACAACGTACTGGAGTGAACGATATGGAAGAAAATGTAGAATAGAACCAGTGAAGAGCAGAGGTGCCATAGGCACAATCAGAGAACACTGTATAAACATCATAACATCAGAGGTCCGCGGTTGTTCAACGTCCTCCCAGCAAGCATAAGAATTATTGCCGGAACAACCGTGGACATTTTCAAGACGAAACTAGATTTATTCCTTCAAGGAGTGCCGGACCAACCGGGCTGTGCTGGGTATGTGGGCCTGCGGGCCGCTCCAAGCAACAGCCTAGTGGACCAAACTCTCACAAGTCAAGCCTGGCCTCGGGCCGGGCTTGGGGAGTAGAAGAACTCCCAGAACCCCATCAACCAGGTATCAACCAGGAATAAGTCATACAGAACGAGGGGACATGGGTGGAAGCTGGAAACTCAGATAAGTCACAGAGATGTTAGGAAGTATTCTTTTAGCGTGAGAGTAGTGGAAAAAGGGAATGCAATACACACACACACAGTTTCAAGTGTAGATATGAAAGAGCCCAATAGGCTCAGGAACCTGTACACCTGTTGATTGACAGTTGAGAGGCGAGACCAAAGAGCCAGAGTTCAACCCCTGCAAGCACCATTAGGTGAGTACACACACACACACAATAAGAGTATCGGGCACTAAAAAAGGGCTTTTGAAAAAGCTCCTCACAAGAAGCTGTTCTGGAAACTGGAACATGGTGGAAGAGGTTTATCTTGATTATCTTGAGATGATTTCGGGGATAAGTGTCTCCGCGGCCCGGTCCTCGACCAGGCCTCCTTTTTGTTACATGCCCCTTGGAAGCAGCCCGTAGCACCTGTCTAACTCCCGGGTACCTATTTACTGCTATGTGAACAGGTGCATCAGGCTGAAAGAAACTCTCCCAATTTGTTTCCGCCTCCACCGGGGATCGAACGTGGAACCTTTGGACTACGAATCCCGAGCGTTGTCCACTCAGCTATCGGGGCTCCGGCTGACAGTGAGACTTCAGGCATGGATGACAAAATTTCTGACAGACAGATGAAGATGAGGGCGGTAATCAGAGACAATGTACCTGACTGGAGGAGTGTTACTAGCGGAGTACTACAAGGTTCAGTTCTTGCACCAGTATGTTCATCGTATACTCTTGCAAGTTCATCGTCTACATGAACGATCTACCAGAAGGTATACAGAATTATATGAACATGTTTGCGGATGATGCTAAGATACTGGGGAAGATAGGAGACGCAGACGATTGTAATGCCCTTCAAATTGGTCTAGATAACATAAGTGCTGTGGAGCGACAAGTGGCAAATGGAATTCAATGTGAATAAATGCCATATTATTTAAAGTGGAATCGGAAAAAATGGATCACACACAACTTACAAATTATGTGCCAATGAATTACAGAACTGTAATAAAGAGCGAGACCTGGGGGTGGTTTTAGATAGAAATTTGTCGCCAGAGGAACACATAAAGAGCATTGTGAGAGGAGCGTATGCGTCACTTTCCAGCTTCAGACCTGATTTTAATTAAATGGATGGTGAAATACTAAAGAAATTGTTCATGACTCTCGTGAGACCAAAATTGGAATATGCAGCAGTTGTATGTTGCCCAAATCTCAAGAAGCACGAGAATTAACTGGAAAAGGTGCAACGGCACGCTACTAAATGACTTCCGGAACTGAAAAACAAGATTTACGAGAAGAGACTTATGGCGTTAAACATGCCACAACTTGAAAATAGAAGAAAAAAAGGTGATATGATCACCACTTACAAAATACTAACATCAATCACCCAGATTGACAGAGGAATTCCTGAAGCCAGCAACTTCAAGAACAAGAGGTCAGAGATTCACTAGGGACCAACAGGACACCAACACTAGGGACCAACAGGACACCAACACTAGGGACCAACAGGACACCAACACTAGGGACCAACAGGACACCAACACTAGGGACCAACAGGACACCAACACTAGGGACCAACAGGACACCAACACTAGGGACCAACAGGACACCAACACTAGGGACCAACAGGACACCAACACTAGGGACCAACAGGACACCAACACTAGGGACCAACAGGACACCAACACTAGAGACCAACAGGACACCAACACTAGGGACCAACAGGACACCAACACTAGGGACCAACAGGACACCAACACTAGGGACCAACAGGACACCAACACTAGGGACCAACAGGACACCAACACTAGGGACCAACAGGACACCAACACTAGGGACCAACAGGACACCAACACTAGGGACCAACAGGACACCAACACTAGGGACCAACAGGACACCAACACTAGGGGACCAACAGGACACCAACACTAGGGGACCAACAGGACACCAACACTAGGGACCAACAGGACACCAACACTAGGGACCAACAGGACACCAACACTAGGGACCAACAGGACACCAACACTAGGGGACCAACAGGACACCAACACTAGGGGACCAACAGGACACCAACACTAGGGACCAACAGGACACCAACACTAGGGACCAACAGGACACCAACACTAGGGACCAACAGGACACCAACACTAGGGACCAACAGGACACTAACACTAGGGACCAACAGGACACCAACACTAGGGACCAACAGGACACCAACACTATAGGGACCAACAGGACACCAACACTAGGGGACCAACAGGACACCAACACTAGAGACCAACAGGACATCAACACTAGGGACCAACAGGACACCAACACTATAGGGACCAACAGGACACCAACACTAGGGGACCAACAGGACACCAACACTAGAGACCAACAGGACACCAACACTAGGGACCAACAGGACACCAACACTATAGGGACCAACAGGACACCAACACTAGGGGACCAACAGGACACCAACACTAGAGACCAACAGGACACCAACACTAGGGACCAACAGGACACCAACACTAGGGACCAACAGGACACCAACACTAGGGACCAACAGGACACCAACACTAGGGGACCAACAGGACACCAACACTAGGGACCAACAGGACACCAACACTAGGGACCAACAGGACACCAACACTAGGGACCAACAGGACACCAACACTAGTGGACATGGAAACCTATTCTGTTGGACTACAGGTAATATTGTCATTAAGCAACAAATAGCTGACGGTTGAGAAGATCATGAGAGATGACACTTATTTTTCACCATCATGAGAGATGACACTAATCTTCACCATCATGAGAAATGACACTAATCTTCACCATCATGAGAGATGACACTAATCTTCACCATCATGAGAGATGACACTAAATTTCACCATCATGAGAGATGACACTAAGTTTCACCATCATGAGAGAAAACACTAAGCTTCACCATCGTGTGAGATGACACTAAGCTTCACCATCATGTGAGATGACACTAATCTTCACCATCATGAGAGATGACACAAAGCATCACCATCATGAGAGATGACACTAATCTTCACCATCATGAGAGATGACACTAAGCTTCACCATCATGAGAGATGAAACTAAGCTTCACCATCATGAGATGACACTAAGCTTCACCATCATCAGAGATGACACTAAGCTTCACCATCATGAGAGATGACACTAAGCATCACCATCATGAGAGATGACACTAAGCTTCACCATCATGAGAGATGACACTAAGCTTCACCATCATAAGAGATGACACTAAGCATCACCATCATGAGAGATGACACTAAGCTTCACCATCATGAGAGATGACACTAAGTTTCACCATCATGAGAGATGACGCTAAGCATCACCATCATGAGAGATGACACTAAGCTTCACCATCATGAGAGATGACACTAAGCTTCACCATCATGAGAGATGACACTAAGCTTCACCATCATGAGAGATGACACTAAGCTTCACCATCATGAGAGATGACACTAAGCTTCACCATCATGAGAGATGACACTAAGCTTCACCATCAGGAGAGATGACACTAAGCATCACCATCATGAGAGATGACACTAATCTTCACCATCATGTGAGATGACACTTATCTTCACCATCATGAGAGATGACACAAAGCATCACCATGATGAGAGATGACACTAATCTTCACCATCATGAGAGATGACACTAATCTTCACCATCATGAGAGATGACACTAAGCATCACCATCATGAGAGATGACACTAAGCTTCACCATCATGAGAGATGACACTAATCTTCACCATCATGAGAGATGACACTAAGCTTCACCATCATGAGAGATGACACTAAGCTTCACCATCATGAGAGATGACACTAAGCATCACCATCATGAGAGATGACACTAATCTTCACCATCATGTGAGATGACACTAATCTTCACCATCATGTGAGATGACACTAATCTTCACCATCATGAGAGATGACACAAAGCATCACCATCATGAGAGATGACACTAAGCTTCACCATCATGAGAGATGACACTAAGCATCACCATCATGAGAGATGACACTAAGCTTCACCATCATGAGAGATGACACTAAGCATCACCATCATGAGAGATGACACTAAGCTTCACCATCATGAGAGATGACACTAATCTTCACCATCATGTGAGATGACACTTATTATTCACCATCATGAGAGGTGACACTAATCTTCACCATCATGAGAGATGACACAAAGCTTCACCATCATGAGAGATGACACTAAGTTTCACCATCATGTGAGATGACACTAAGCTTCACCATCATGAGAGGTGACACTAATCTTCACCGTCATGAGAGATGACACAAAGCTTCACCATCATGAGAGATGACACTAAGTTTCACCATCATGTGAGATGACACTAAGCTTCACCATCATGTAAGATTACACAAAGTTTCACCATCATGAGAGATAACACTAAGCTTCACCATCATGAGAGATGGCACTAATCTTCACCATCATGAGAGATAACACTAAGCTTCACCATCATGAGAGATAACACTAAGCTTCACCATCAGCAATATTTCCAACTCACCTTCTCCAGGTCCTTCTTGTCCTTGAAGCGCGCCCAGATGAGCATGAGGAGGAAGATTGCGAGTGTGATGATGAGGGTGAGGTAGATGGTGAGGTTGTCGGTGAAGCCCATGTGGGCGAAGACATAGTTGAAGTCTATGGTGTTGGGCATCACGAACATCCCGGAGCCGAAGCTTGTCAGGTGGTTGGAGGTGCAGGTGGTCAGCGTCTCCGTCGCGTTTAGTACCTGTAGGCAGGGAGAGTGGCTAGTTAGGTGGTCACTCACAGCTGTTAGCGCCTTCCTCGTAATAATATTAATACAAACTTAATGTATGGACAATGAGAAAATCAGAAGAACCCATAAGTGGGATTCGAACCCTCTCACTTGGTACTCCCGAGCTAGCTTCCTAGACGACTCGCTGCCGGAGCTATTGCTAGCTCGCCGCAGACGGATTTGTTCCCTGGAAAACTTACGTTTCTGAGCACCCACCAGCTCAAATCATCACGGTTTTGTGAGGAAGATTACACCAATACTCCAAGACCCAGAGAATGTCTTTTTTGGAATGAAACAATACCGATTTCGTCTACAACTGATGGACAAACAACGATGTTGATTATGTGCTGTGCAGCTGACTGGTATTCTGCACGACCCAGGACGCACTCGACCCAAATCTTGTACCCATGACTGATTGCCCATGTCACCCATGACCGATTATTTTTTTTGAGAACTGTATCACTGACCAGGTCACTTAGAGTCCTACCCTGAAAGGCGAGGCGATACCCTGTGGGCATCGCCACAAGGTGGCACCTTAGGTGTACTGAGCCTTTTCAGGGGAAGGTAGAGCAAACACCCCCAATTTGGTGTTACATATCACTGATTCCACCTGGGGAGGAATCATTTTACGACCTCCGTTGGAGGGAAAGGAATTTCTCCAGGCCTAGGAGTGTCTCAGGCATTAGGTAAGGCAGTGAATCGGTTCTCACTAGGTGCAGACGTCATGAAAACGTCAAAGAGAAAGAGGCAATGAAGGCAGCTTTCAGATGAGAAGAGACAGTGGACAGAAGTGCAGCAGGCACCGAAGAAAAATGCTATCAACACCAGAAACCAGCAAGACACCAGATATAATGGACCTAGAGAGGACAGCATCAGTCTCACACCAGCCAGTGTCAGACAATGCTTCTCTGTCCACAACACAGCCACAAGACGACAGTATGAGACAGGAGCGGACAGTACCAGTCACGCACCAGCCAGTGTCAGACAATGTACCTCTCTCCACAACACAGCCACAGGACAACAGTATGAGACAGGAGAGGACACCACCAGTCACACACCAGACATCGTCAGACTCTGCACACATCCCAAAATTCAAGATAATGCAGACAGACCACTTTCCAACAGCATATGGAGTAGTAACGGTAATGGAAAACGAACAACCGGAGCTCAAACTTTCCATTACAGTCAACCTGAAAGGAGAAATAATAATAACACCACAAGACCAACAGACTGCAAATTGCTTGGAAAAAGTAAAAGTCCTGCAAGGGAAACATGTTTGCTTGGAAAAGCTGGACCCTTTAGAAAGACGCACACGAGTCGTGCTTTTGGGATACTCAATCGACTTTCCCCTGGATCCAGTACTGGAATACAAGCAAATCCTGAATGCGGAACGATGTTGCACAAAAGTAGACAAAGCAGCAACATGTCAGGTTCTGGTGACCGTCAGGGGACATATGCCAGAAACATTTAATCTTGGAAATTGGGGAATATACCGACTGATACCTTACGTCCCAGAACCCCTGCGCTGCTTCAGGTGTCAGAAATACGGTCACTATCAATCACGGTGTACTGGGCAGGAGAGATGTGGAGTGTGCAGCCTGAAGCATCCAACCAAAGACTGTATAGGGAAGAACAAGGCAAACCAGACCACATCAGCCAAATGTTCAAACTGTGGAGGCAAACATCACGCCTGGAGCACAACCTGCTCTGCACTGACAGAAAAGGTACAAACAGTTCAGATCCATTCTCATACAGTCTCATAGAATAAAATTTCCCAAATCTATCAACTCCAAATCAGAAAATACTCAAAAACTGCTGCAGAGCTGCAACAAAAGCAAAAAAAAAAAAAAAAAACAATCAATTTCGTAATCAACACAACACATTTACAGTTTTACCGAGGTCCAGCTGAAAAATATCGTGAAGATCATGGCAGAGACCATTATCAATTGCCTACAGATGACGCAGAACGCTTCACAACAACACTCAAGAAATCACTTGTGTAATAATGAACAAGATCGTGCAGCAGACCACAGTTACACAAGAAACAGACAGTCTGAGGCAAGACGGAGCACAAGAGGACAAACAACGCAACATGGACATACAGACTACACTACCAACAACAATCGGGTGGTCAAGACACCAGACCATCAACATTCACAATAGCAACTGCAAGAAGCAGTGACTACTCAAGATCAACATAATCTTTCAACACAAGAGACAGACATCAACAGCCAATGCAGTCTGATATGCAACAACACCAACAAAGAAGTATTGAACAGCAAAAATGCACAGGTTCCAACAACACAAGAGGCGGGCACGAACAATCAATGTAGCCTGATATGTAGCAACATCATCAACGAGATACTGGAAGGAAGAGATGCACAAATTCCGACAACACAAGAAGCGGCCGCGAGCAATCAATGCAGTCCGATGTGCAGCATTACCAACAGCAAAATGATGGACAACAGAGATGCACAGATTCCAACAACGCAGATGATGAACATGAACAATCAGTGCAGTCCGATTTGCAGTGATACGACTTAGGAGGTGAAGAATATAAAAGCAGATTCCGAAGAGGAGTTCAACTAGAACAGGCAACACCAACCGAACCCGGCGTCTGGCCATTACGAATACTGCAGTGGGACATGCAAGGTCTTGGAAATAAAAACCAAACCCTTCAGGAAGTTGCAATCAGTTCGAAAGCAGATATAATCGTTTTGGAAGAAACTCTTTTACCAGCCACGAAATCCTTCAGATTTGCTGAATATCAGCACCATATTATACCGTGTGAACAGGGGGAGAAAAAGATGGTTAATGACACTAGTCAGAAACACCATACCCAGCAAGAAAATAGACCCAGTTTCATGTGGGGATGGAGTAGAGGTATTATTAGTAACAGTGAATGTGGCTTTTATTGAGCTCCTCATATTCAACGTCAACCCCCTAGAAGTAAACTAGAAGCAGAGGCAGTGCTTGCCTTGGCCACACATGAAAATGAAATTATTGCTGGGGATTTTAGTGCTCATCATCATGAGTTAGGTGCAACTGGGCCAGCCAATGCAGATGGGCGCCATTTAGCTGCAGCTCTGCAAGAAGTACCTGAAATTACACCTCTTAACACTGGGGAACCCACTCACATTCAAGGAGGTTCCCTTCATCTAAAATTAATCTCAACAGCACTCAAACGTCAGGTGAAGTGGGAAGTAGACCCGGTGATCACCAGTGACCACTATGCTACTGTCACAACACTAAACATAGAACGACCTCCTACGCCACCTGCACAACCTATGTGGAATTTAAATAAGGCCAACTGGAATATATACCAAAAGGAACTTGAAAAATGATATTCAACATACACGCCACCTGAGGATTTGAACATACACGAGACCAATCAGCAGGAAGCCATCGCAGCTGCTGCTAACGAAGCTATTCCAATCATTATCACAGGAAACACAAAACGAAAGAACTATTGGTTCTATAGTAATGAAGTTAAAAAACAAAACCACAGAATCAACATCTTCAGAAAACATCTAAAGAGAAACCCCACACCAGAAGGAAGAACTCTGCTTAGAACGGTGATATCTGAAGCAAGACGAGATTCTAGAAAGGTAAAGGAGGCAAGATAGTTTGAGTGGTGTTAAACTCTAAATGAACATAGTAGTTTTGGCAAGATATGGGATCAGATAAAAAGCATCTCTGGTCGACCAGCCCGACCACAGGAATGTATTCAACCATTGCAGGAGGCTGAGACACTTGTTCTGCAATTTGCAGAATGAGCGGCTTAATATCAGCTTCCTGCAATGGTAAGAAGGCAGCAAAAATAATTAAAACAAGAGAGGTTGACAGCCATTATTGAAAGCATAGCTACAAATGAGGAATGTGACTGTCCCTTCACCAAACAAGAACTAATCAGAGCCCAAAAAGGTGGTAAGGACACTGCACCAGGTGCTGATAACATTACACACTCGATGATCGCACATGCAGGAACTGCTGGGGAACAAGGGATATTGGACGTTCTCTATGCATCTTAGCAGCAAGGCAAACTAAAGACCTCTTGGAAGAAAGCAGACATTATTCCAATTCCTAAGGCAAAAGAACCCGGCAATTACAGGGCCATTTCATTAACATCAGGTATTAGTAAAACTGCAGAACAGATGGTCTTAAATAGGCTTCTGTGGAAGACAGGCGACTTGCATAAACACATATTTGGCTTCACTAGAGGAGTTGGTACTGACTTCTACATGGAAACATTACTAGGAACAGTTAACTCAGGTCCAGCTATAGTGATCTTCCTTGATCTATAAAAAGCATTCGAACTTGCAAGCCCGCAAACAATTTTACACACCTTAGTTAAAAAAGGTGTAAAGGGAAATATGCTAAGATGTATTCAAGATTACCTAAGTCACAGGAATGTCAGAGTAAAGTTGCAAGGACAAGTGTCGGACTACCACTTGCATGAGAATGGGACTCCACAAGGAGGAGTCCTCCGTCCTAGTCTTTTTAACATCCATATAGAAAACCTCGTTATGTGCATATGGGAATACTCATATGCAGGTAGAGCATGTAGTGGGTGCAGAACATGAAGGTAGAGCATGTATAGTATGCCGCGCATGAAGGTAGAGCATGTATAGTATGCCGCGCATGAAGGTGGAGCACTTAGTATGCAGTACATGAAGGTGGCGCACATGAAGTGTTCAATAGAGTGCTGCACAACAACACTCTATACTCACCACAACACCTTGTGTCTCCCATTTCATTGTTGTCTTGTTCATGAAAGCTACGCCATTGACTGTGACCCGCAGCTGGTAGTTGGTCGAGATGTTCTTCACCACATCCATGTTGACGTTGTTCTTGACCGGGTCGTTCATCAGACTGAGGTTGAAGTTAGTCTTGAACTCTCCCACCCCGAGGAAGTAGCGGCCCAGACCTCCCAGCTGCGACGCCATCAGGAACAGTTTATACGTCCCTGTTGGAGAAGATTTATGTCCAGGTAAGCCATGATGCCTTCAGTGATTCAGCAACTCGCATCTTTAGCAAGCTAATGGGGAATTTTGCCTGGTTTGTGAATTATATGACAAGAACAAACAGCTTGGCTGATCAGGCCGTTACTAAGGAGATCTACACACACGCCGGGGCCACAGGTGGTGATCCGTGGAACAATTACAACTTCGACATGTTTTATTGACGCATATCTATGTCTCTGAGCGATGGGATCTGTGGCTTGGCCATTACGCTCATCACTCTGACAATGGTCACGGAGATCACGGTCCACGCGGCCCGGTCTCTGACCACTCCTCCTGGATGATGGTCTGGTCAACCAGACCATCTATTGTAGTGTGTCTATTGTAGTGTGCCTAATGTAATGTGTCTAATGGAGTGTGTCTAGTGTAGTGAGTCCAGTGCAGTGAGACTACAGCAGTATTCACCTAGTTGTGCTTGCGGGGGTTGAGCTCTGCTTTTCGGCCCGCCTCTCAACTGTCAATCAACTGTTTGCAGTTGATTGATTGTATCTAGTGTAGTAGATATTGACAATATTGACACTACACAATGTTGTGTCTAGTGTAGTCTAGCAACCCATCCTCCGAATTGACAGTACATTTTAATACTAAGTGTTATAAGTACATTTCCTGACTGCAATACATAGTACATAATTACACTGATGGGGCTGTTACATTTACCTCCCAATTTACTCTCCTAGTTTTCTGTTAAGACACTTAGAACTTTAGGATGAAGTTTTCATGATCATTTCGCTCTTCACAAAGTTTTAAATATCAGGAATTTCTTTTTCAGTTTTATTAAACAATAGAGATTTCATACAAAATTTGAAAATATCCTGAGTTACTTTACATTTTATTTAAATATTTTAGTTTTGTTTTATTTGTTTTATAAAACTGTAATATCAATATAGCTATAGGTTAAGTGGTGATTGTAATTAAGAAGCAATAAAATGCTTATCTTCAAAAACTAAGACGGTGAGGTTAGGTCGTGGTTTTTTATTCAGCTTTTCAGGTAAACTCAAATATTCACAATATATTTGACAGTACGGTTTAATACTATGTGAAAATAAGTACAATTCCTGACTGCCATGCATAGTACATAATTGCACTTATGGGGCTGTTATACTTACCTCCCCATTTTTTGAGGACGGGCTGAGTCTAGTGTCTAGTATAGTGTGTCTACTGCAGTGTGTCTACTGCCGTGTGTCTAGTATAGTGTGTCTACTGCAGTGTGACTAGTGTAGAGTGCCTACTGCAGTGTGTCTACTGCCGTGTGTCTAGTGTAGAGTGCCTACTGCAGTGTGTCTACTGCCGTGTGTCTAGTGTAGAGTGCCTACTGCAGTGTGTCTACTGCCGTGTGTCTAGTGTAGTGTGTCTACTGCAGTGTGACTAGTGAAGAGTGTCTACTGCAGTGTGACTACACACTGCAGTAGTACACACTTTCCAATGACCTGTTATACACCATAGAGAGTGGCACACTTAGTGCCTCTGCACCTTCTTTTAGTATTAGAGGTGAGATTCTGTCAGGCCAACAGCCTTTGTCACATTCATTTCCAACAGATTCCTTTTGACCTCCTCATTGGTGAGGTCAAATTCCTCCAAGGTTCTTTGGTTTACCTCCTCATTTAGTGTAGGACCTCTCCTTGTTCTATTGTGAAAACCTCCTGGAATCTCTTGTTGAGTTCTTCACACACCTCCTTGTCGTTCTCTGTGTATTTGTTCTTCCCTTTTCTCAGTTTCATCACCTGTTCCTTCACTGCTGTTTCCTCCTGATGTAGTTGTGGAGCAGTTTTGGTTGGGTCTTAGCTTTACTCGCAATGTTATTTTCACACTGTCTCTCTGCTTCTCTCCTCACTCTGAGGTATTCATTTCTGGCCCTCTGGTAAGTCTTCCTGCTCTCTGGTGTTCTGTTGTTCCTGTAGTTTTTCCATGTTCTTTTACTCAATTGCTTTGCTGCCGCAAATTCCTGATTGAACCACGGATTCTTCTGTTGCTTTTCATTTTTCTCTTTTTGGACTGCGATGAACCTGTCTGCAGTTTCCTGGCACTTCTGGGTGACATAATCCATCATATCCTGTACAGTCTTTTCTCTGGGTTCTGTTTCCCATGGTATTTCATTAGAAAGTTCCTCATCTCGTCATATTTTCCTCTTCGGTAATTTAATCTTTTTTCTACCAATCCCATCTTTGGATAGGTTATCCCTACCTCTACCAGATACTCAAATATCAATACACTGTGGTCACTCATTCCTATGGGGGCTTCAAATTTGACGTCCCTTATTTCTGAGTCATTCAAGGTGAATATCAGGACGAATCTAGCTGGTTCGTCATTCCCTCTCATTCATGTGGGTCCCTTGACATGTTGGCTCAGAAAGTTCCTTGTTGACACTTTCAAGAGTTTAGTTCTCACTGTATCTTCACATACATGTGGGTCCCCATTCTCACAGTCTATCTTTCCATGGTTGAAATTGCCAATGATTAAGAGTCTGGATCCATTCCTGCAGGCAAGTGAAACTGCTCTCTCTCTATTATATTAATGGTAGCCATGTTGTTTCTGTCGAACTCTTGTCTAGGTTTTCTGTTATTTAGTGGAGGGTTGTAAATGACTGCCACTATTATCTTAGGTCCCCTCCACCCCCCCATTGTCATAGTTCCTGTAATGTAATCTATGAATCCGTCGCAGCCCGGAATTTCCATCTCTTCAAAGCTCCAGTCCTTCCTTATCAGCAGAGCCACTCCTCCTCCTCCTCTCCCTTCCCTCCCTTCCCTCTCTTTCCTTACTATATAGTAGTCCTTTGGAAACACAGCGTTTGTTATGACTCCTGACAATTTTGTTTTTATGAGTCCTATTACATCTGGATTTTCTTCCTGCGCCCTTTCTGCCAGTTCACTTGCTTTGTTGGTAATCCCAATGTTGGTAATGTTTGAGAACATTACCTTGAAGCTCACTTTTCTGTATCCATTTTCACCTTCCCTCCCCACTAATGAAAGAAGCTGTTCCATGGGCATTATTGCTTGGGTAGGCTCATCCTCCTGTGGGCTAGATACCAAGGGTTCTTGGGAAGGGAGGGGTAGGGGTTAGGAGGGGTGAGTGGGAGGGAAGGCTTAGAAATTGCCCAGGCCAGTGTGTCTAGTTTAGTGTGTCTTGTGTAGTGTGTCTACTGCAGTGTGTCTAGTGTAGTGTGTCTAGTGTAGTGTGTCTACTGCAGTGTGTCTAGTGTAGTGTGTCTAGTCTAGTTTGTCTACTGCAGTGTGTCTACTGCAGTGTGTCTACTGCAGTGTGTCTAGTGTAGTGTGTCTGACAATCCAAAAATATTCAGTCTGCCCAGCCCTCTCTTTTTTGCCTGATTTTTGTTGCCTGGTCGTAGAATTAAATTAACCCTGTGAGGCAGGACTTGCCATCCCTGAACCCATGTTGATGCTGTGTTTCAAAGTTCCTTCGCTCCAGATGTTCCACTAGCTTCTTCGCACAATCTTCTCCATCAGCTTGCATGGTATGCAGGTTAGGGACACTGGCCTGTAGTTTAGTGCCACCTGTCTAATCCCCTTTCTTATATATCGGGACTACATTAGCTACTCTCCAAATTTCTGGCAGTTCCCCTGTTGTCAGTTAATTTCTTATACACAATGGAGAGTGGTAATCACAGTGCTTCTGCTCCTTCCTTTAGTATCCAAGGAGAGATTTCATCTGGGCCAATAGCCTTTGTCACATCCAACTCTAGTAACAACTTCCTTTCTTCCTCACTGGTAATCTCTAACTCTTCCAGTGGTTCCTGGTTAACTCTTCTCTATCTAATTTCTGGAATCTCACCTTGCTCTAAGGTGAAGACCTCCGGGAATTTCTTATTCAGTTCCTCACACACGTCCTTGTCCCTCTAGTGTACCCACTAGTGTAGTGTGTCTAGTGTAGTGTGAGTGCCTAGTGTAGTGTGACCGGCTCCCTCTAGTGAGGGAGCCGGTCGGCCGAGTGGACAGCACACTGGACTTGTGATCCTGTGGTCCCGGGTTCGATCCCGGGCGCCGGCGAAAAACAATGGGCTGAGTTTCTTTCACCCTATGCCTCTGTTACCTAGCAGTAAAATAGGTACCTGGGTGTTAGTCAGCTGTCACGGGCTGCTTCCTGGGGGTGGAGGCCTGGTCGAGGACCGGGCCGCGGTGTGTCTAGTGCTGTGTATCTACTGCAGTGTGTCTAGTGAAGTGTATCTAGTGTAGTGTATCTAGTAGTGTGTCTAGTCTAGTGTGTCTATTGTAGCGTGTCTAGTGTAGTGTGTCTAGTCTAGTGTGTCTATTGTAGCGTGTCTAGTGTAGTGTGTCTAGTGTATTGTGTCTAGTGTATTGTGTCTAGTGTAGTGTGTCTAGTGTAGTGTGTCTAGTGTAGTGTGTCTAGTGTAGTGTGTCTAGTGTAGTGTGTCTAGTGTATTGTGTCTAGTGTATTGTGTCTAGTGTATTGTGTCTAGTGTAGTGTAGTGTATCTAGTGTAGTGTGTCTAGTGTAGTGTATCTAGTGTAGTGTGTCTAGTGTATTGTGTCTAGTGTAGTGTGTCTAGTGTAGTGTGTCTAGTGTAGTGTGTCTAGTGTATTGTGTCTAGTGTATTGTATCTAGTGTAGTGTATCTAGTGTAGTGTGTCTAGTGTATTGTGTCTAGTGTATTGTGTCTAGTGTAGTGTGTCTAGTGTAGTGTGTCTAGTGTAGTGTGTCTAGTGTAGTGTGTCTAGTGTAGTGTGTCTAGTGTAGTGTGTCTAGTGTAGTGTGTCTAGTGTAGTGTGTCTAGTGTATTGTGTCTAGTGTATTGTGTCTAGTGTAGTGTAGTGTATCTAGTGTAGTGTGTCTAGTGTAGTGTATCTAGTGTAGTGTGTCTAGTGTATTGTGTCTAGTGTAGTGTGTCTAGTGTAGTGTGTCTAGTGTAGTGTGTCTAGTGTATTGTGTCTAGTGTATTGTATCTAGTGTAGTGTGTCTAGTGTAGTGTATCTAGTGTAGTGTGTCTAGTGTATTGTGTCTAGTGTATTGTGTCTAGTGTATTGTGTCTAGTGTATTGTGTCTAGTGTAGTGTGTGTAGTGTAGTGTGTGTAGTGTAGTGTGTCTAGTGTATTGTGTCTAGTGTAGTGTGTGTAGTGTAGTGTGTGTAGTGTATTGTGTCTAGTGTAGTGTGTGTAGTGTATTGTGTCTAGTGTAGTGTGTGTAGTGTAGTGTATCTAGTGTAGTGTGTCTAGTGTATTGTGTCTAGTGTAGTGTGTCTAGTGTATTGTGTTTAGTGTAGTGTTTTCTGCTGTCACTGAATAATAAAACTATCAAAAAATTGTTACATATCTGTTCTTTATTGGGGTTATATATATATATATATATATATATATATATATATATATATATATATATATATATATATATATATATATATATATATATATATATATATATATATGTCGTACCTAGTAGCCAGAACGCACTTCTCAGCCTACTATTCAAGGCCCGATTTGCCTAATAAGCCAAGTTTTCATGAATTAATTGTTTTTCGACTACCTAACCTACCTAACCTAACCTAACCTAACCTAACCTATAAAGATAGGTTAGGTTAGGTTAGGTAGGGTTGGTTAGGTTCGGTCATATATCTACGTTAATTTTAATTCAAATAAAAAAAAATTGACCTCATACATAATGAAATGGGTAGCTTTATCATTTCATAAGAAAAAAATTAGAGAAAATATATTTATTCAAGAAAACTTGGCTTATTAGGCAAATCAGGCCTTGCATAGTAGGCTGAGAAGTGCATTCTGGCTACTAGGTACGACATATATATATATATATATATATATATATATATATATATATATATATATATATATATATATATATATATATAAACCCTGATCTGGGCCAAACATTGGTCATATAAAGCTTAACACCTTAACAAATAGAGGAAAATAATGTTCACCCCTTAAAGCAGTATATCAATACTTGACTGACAGAGAGGCCCCGGACAACACCATTCATCATTTGTCTTACCATTGGTCTGAGGCAAGTCGTTGACAAAAGTGAACTTGATGCAGGACTTGAGGGTCGGGAGACGCGGCTTGTCAACAAAGAGAAAGAGCCGCGGGTTGGTCACCTCTGGCACAATCTCCAAGCTGATGGTAGAGTCAGCCTAAAATGAATGATAAGACTGTGTTTGAGTTCTGAGAGTGACTGTCAAGGTTTGTACTAGAGTCAGAAGGACTTTCAAGATTTGTAGTAGAGCCAGAAGACTGTCAAGATTTATAGTTGAACCAGAAAACTGTCAAGGTTTGTAATAGAGCCAGAGGACTTTCAATGTTTGTAGAAGACACAGACGACTGTCAAGATTTGCAGTAGAGCCACAGGACTATCAAGTTTTATAGTGGAGCCAGAAAACTGTCAAGCTTTGTAGTAGAGGCAATGGACTGTCAAGGTCTGCAGCAGAGCAAGAGGACTGTCAAGGTTAGTAGTAGAGTCAGAGGACTGTCAAGGTTTTTTAGTAGAGCCAGAGGACTGTCAAATTTTGTAGTAAAGTCAGGGGACTTTCAATGTTGGTAGTAAAGCCAGAGGACTGTCAAGGATTGTGGTAGAGCCTGAGAACTGTCAAGAATGGTAGTAGAGCCAGAGGAATTGAATAGCTTGTAGCAGAGCGAGAGGACTGTCAAGGTTTGTTGTAGAGCCAGTAGACTGTCAAGTTTGTAGTTGAGCCAGAGGAGTCTCAAGGTTTGTAGTAAAGCCAGAGAACTGTCAAGGCTTGTGGTAGAGCCCGAGATCTGTTAAAGCTTGTAGTTGACCAGAGGGCTGTAAAGGCTTGAAGTAGAGTCAGAGGACTGTCAAGGCTTGTAGTAGAGCGAGCGGACTGTCAAAGCTTGTAGTAGAGCCAGAGAATTGTCATGACTTGTAGTAGAGCCAGAGGACTGTCAAAGATTGTAACAGAGCCAGAGGATTGTCAAGGTCTGAAGTTGAACCAGAGTACTGTCAAGGATTGTTGTAGAGCCAGAGGACTGTCAAGGATTGTTGTAGAGCCAGAGGACTGTTAAAGCTTCTAGTATAGCTATAGGACTTTCAAGTTTTGTAGTAGAGCCATCGGGCTGTCAAGGTTTGAAATAAAGTCAGAGGACTATTAAGGCTTGCAGTAAAGTCAGAGAAATGTCAAGGCTTATAGTAGAACCAGAGGATTATCAAGGCTTGTAGTAGAACCAGAGGATTATCAAGGCTTGTAGTAGAACCAGAGGATTATCAAGGCTTGTAGTAGAACCAGAGGATTATCAAGGCTTGTAGTAGAACCAGAGGATTATCAAGGCTTGTAGTAGAATCAGAAAACTGTCAAGGCTTTTGTAAAGCCATAGAACTGTTAAGGCTTGTATTAGAGCCAGTGAAGTGTCAAGGCTTGTATTAGAGCCATTGAAGTGTCAAGGCTTGTAGTAGAGCCAGAGAACTGTCAAGTCTTTTAGTAGAGCCAGAGAACTATCAAGTCTCGAAGTATATCCAGGGGACTGACAAGGCTTTTAGTAAAACAAGAGGACTGTCAAGGCTTGTAGTAAAGCCAGAGGAAAGTCAATCCGAGGAAGGTTTAATTCGGCCACAACAATCGCTTACTGACCAGTTAAAAAATATACATTTGTCATATACATTGTCTAGGACCAAAGTCAACTCTCAATGTATATACATTATTTAAAGTGACGTATTCTCTCCAGAGTGTATATATATGTATATACAATATAAACATTGGAATCTTTGTGGTCAAGGTTCAGGTGTACACTCTGTGGTGCCTGTTATACTGTGATACTCTTACATATGCATGAAAAATGAGGGGACACTTGAGACTGTTTTGACTCACCGTGCTGACGTTGAAGGTGGTGTATGACTCACCGTGCTGACGTTGAAGGTGGTGTATGACTCACCGTGCTGACGTTGAAGGTGGTGTATGACTCACCGTGCTGACGTTGAAGGTGGTGTATGACTCACCGTGCTGACACTGAAGGTGGTGTATGACTCACCGTGCTGACGTTGATGGTGGAGTATGACTCACCGTGCTGACGTTGATGGTGGAGTATGACTCACCGTGCTGACGTTGATGGTGGTGTATGACTCACCGTGCTGACGTTGAAGGTGGAGTATGACTCACCGTGCTGACACTGAAGGTGGTGTATGACTCACCGTGCTGACGTTGATGGTGGTGTATGACTCACCGTGCTGACGTTGAAGGTGGTGTATGACTCACCGTGCTGACGTTGATGGTGGAGTATGACTCACCGTGCTGACGTTGAAGGTGGTGTATGACTCACCGTGCTGACGCTGAAGGTGGTGTATGACTCACCGTGCTGACGCTGAAGGTGGTGTATGACTCACCGTGCTGACGCTGAAGGTGGTGTATGACTCACCGTGCTGACGCTGAAGGTGGAGTATGACTCACCGTGCTGACGTTGAAGGTGGAGTATGACTCACCGTGCTGACGTTGAAGGTGGTGTATGACTCACCGTGCTGACACTGAAGGTGGTGTATGACTCACCGTGCTGACGTTGAAGGTGGTGTCTGACTCACCGTGCTGACGTTGAAGGTGGTGTATGACTCACCGTGCTGACACTGAAGGTGGTGTATGACTCACCGTGCTGACGTTGAAGGTGGTGTATGACTCACCGTGCTGACGCTGAAGGTGGTGTATGACTCACCGTGCTGACGCTGAAGGTGGTGTTTGACTCACCGTGCTGACGCTGAAGGTGGAGTATGACTCACCGTGCTGACGTTGAAGGTGGAGTATGACTCACCGTGCTGACGTTGAAGGTGGTGTATGACTCACCGTGCTGACGTTGAAGGTGGTGTATGACTCACCGTGCTGACGTTGAAGGTGGTGTATGACTCACCGTGCTGACGTTGAAGGTGGTGTATGACTCACCGTGCTGACGTTGAAGGTGGTGTATGACTCACCGTGCTGACGCTGAAGGTGGAGTATGACTCACCGTGCTGACGTTGAAGGTGGAGTATGACTCACCGTGCTGACGTTGAAGGTGGTGTATGACTCACCGTGCTGACGTTGAAGGTGGTGTATGACTCACCGTGCTGACGTTGAAGGTGGTGTATGACTCACCGTGCTGACGTTGAAGGTGGTGTATGACTCACCGTGCTGACGTTGAAGGTGGTGTATGACTCACCGTGCTGACGTTGAAGGTGGTGTATGACTCACCGTGCTGACGTTGAAGGTGGTGTATGACTCACCGTGCTGACGTTGAAGGTGGTGTATGACTCACCGTGCTGACGTTGAAGGTGGTGTATGACTCACCGTGCTGACACTGAAGGTGGTGTATGACTCACCGTGCTGACGTTGAAGGTGGTGTATGACTCACCGTGCTGACGTTGAAGGTGGAGTATGACTCACCGTGCTGACGTTGAAGGTGGTGTATGACTCACCGTGCTGACGTTGAAGGTGGAGTATGACTCACCGTGCTGACGTTGAAGGTGGAGTATGACTCACCGTGCTGACGTTGAAGGTGGAGTATGACTCACCGTGCTGACGTTGAAGGTGGAGTATGACTCACCGTGCTGACGTTGAAGGTGGAGTATGACTCACCGTGCTGACGTTGAAGGTGGTGTATGACTCACCGTGCTGACGTTGAAGGTGGAGTATGACTCACCGTGCTGACGTTGAAGGTGGTGTATGACTCACCGTGCTGACGTTGAAGGTGGAGTATGACTCACCGTGCTGACGTTGAAGGTGGAGTATGACTCACCGTGCTGACGTTAAAGGTGGAGTATGACTCACCGTGCTGACGTTGAAGGTGGAGTATGACTCACCGTGCTGACGTTGAAGGTGGAGTATGACTCACCGTGCTGACGTTGAAGGTGGAGTATGACTCACCGTGCTGACGTTGAAGGTGGTGTATGACTCACCGTGCTGACGTTGAAGGTGGAGTATGACTCACCGTGCTGACGTTGAAGGTGGTGTATGACTCACCGTGCTGACGTTGAAGGTGGAGTATGACTCACCATGCTGACGTTGAAGGTGGAGTATGACTCACCGTGCTGACGTTGAAGGTGGTGTATGACTCACCGTGCTGACGTTGAAGGTGGTGTATGACTCACCGTGCTGACACTGAAGGTGGTGTATGACTCACCGTGCTGACGTTGAAGGTGGTGTATGACTCACCGTGCTGACACTGAAGGTGGTGTATGACTCACCGTGCTGACGTTGAAGGTGGTGTATGACTCACCGTGCTGACGTTGAAGGTGGAGTATGACTCACCGTGCTGACGTTGAAGGTGGTGTATGACTCACCGTGCTGACGTTGAAGGTGGAGTATGACTCACCGTGCTGACGTTGAAGGTGGAGTATGACTCACCGTGCTGACGTTGAAGGTGGAGTATGACTCACCGTGCTGACGTTGAAGGTGGTGTATGACTCACCGTGCTGACGTTGAAGGTGGAGTATGACTCACCGTGCTGACGTTGAAGGTGGTGTATGACTCACCGTGCTGTCACTGAAGGTGGAGTATGACTCACCGTGCTGACGTTGAAGGTGGAGTATGACTCACCGTGCTGACGCTGAAGGTGGAGTATGACTCACCGTGCTGACGTTGAAGGTGGTGTATGACTCACCGTGCTGACGTTGAAGGTGGAGTATGACTCACCGTGCTGACGTTGAAGGTGGTGTATATGACAGGGATGGTCTTCCGGGCTGACTCCCAAGTGGCATTGACTTTCACCATAGCTGGAGACACAGTTAGTTGTTAGTGACTGGCGAAATTTATCAATGTTTTATGACTCCTGTCTACCCCACGTCACCCTTCTCTGCCTCGTGACACATCTGTACCACGTCATCTGTCCTCGTCATGTCACCTGTCTGGCATGTCACCTGTCCCATACTTAATATAATGTTCATTCTCTAGAAAGTTCATTCCAAACATCAACCACTTACGGGCTACTCATGGCCGTGCCAACTTTTAATCTTAATCTATCAATCTCTAGAAAGACAGAGAGCAAGGTGAGTAGGATACGAACGAAAGATGTAAACAGATGAATGGGTATAACAAAGTTTATATTAATAGGATTTTAAACTTATTAACACAGAATTGAGGTCGAAACAATGAATATAAACCAGGTCAGTTAAGACTGAACAAGCACCTGTGCATATACTTGTGGAAACAATGTGTTAGCCCTCAAATTGTAAGACAGTTGGTGTACAGCCAATCACAGAGGTGAGTAGGCCTCTGACGTCATTTCCCACAAAGCCGGCACTGGCTGCTCTGAACTAGGCCGTCAGTTATCTCAGAGACCTTAGTGCTAAGTAGGACCCAGTGTTGTACATCTAAGTACCTTACTCAGTAAGCTACTTGAAGTGAACTACTATGTATCTATCTCTACAACCAAGGAAGCAGAAACTACAAGGTAACGAATACTATCTGACGAGTATCTTGCTTTGTCAAAAACTTAATGACAGGTGCCCATATGGGATCTCGTCTCTGTTCCATCTCGACTACTGTAGCGTCTAATGCTGTGTAATTTAACTGACTTTTAGCTACGTGTCGAGAAAACACATCAGCTACAACATTTTGCTTTTCTGGAATATAACCAAATGTGGAATTCAACTCTAGAATAATGAGCAAATATCTTGCAAACTTTCAAACGGGATTCTTATTCTTGAACTAAGGAATTAATGGTTGATGATCAGTAAGGACATGAACTATTTAATTATAAATTCTATTCCTGAAATTTTTAAAAGCCCATACAACTGCTCAACCTTCACGTTCTGTTGATCTAGAATTTTTCGCTTCTTTAGATAATGTACGGCAAGCATTAGCTATTGCGTGATCTCTGTGACCTTCGGTATGAAGTAACAGCACCCAAGCCTATGTCACTAGCATCTGTGACCAACGTAAAAGGTTTGGAAAAATCTGGGTACTTAAGGACAGGTGACGAGATCAATACTGCTTTGAGCTTTTTGAATGACTGTTCTTGGGCATCTTCCCAAACAATGGGTTCTTCTTTTCTTTGCAACTTGTAAAGTGGAGCGGCTATAATAGAGAATCCAGCAATAAATGAACAATAAAATCCTACAAGACCTGTGAACTGTCTCACGGCTTCTGCAGTACAAGGTGTTGGAAAATCATGAGCCGCAAAAAATTTTTATTCGGTCAATAATGCCTGAAGGGGTGACTGTATGACCTAGGAAATTAATCTTTTCCTTTAAAAATGAGCACTCTGAGAGTTTTATTTTTAAATTTGCTTCAACGAGCTTAACAAGTAATTTCTCAAGGCTCTGGAAGGGAGTCTAAACATCTTGCAACATGACTATGAGATCATCAAGGAACACCAGAAGAGTAATATCTGTCAATCTACGAAATAGGTTCGTCATTAGTCTTGAAAAAGTTATTGGACTACTCTGCAGCCCAAACGGCATTCTTTTGAAATGAAAATGATCATTGGGAGTACTGAAGACTGTAAACTGTTTACTTTCCTCATCGAGTGGCATTTGCCAGAATACCTGCAACAAATCTAATGTTAAGAATACTTTGTTTCGACCAATACTTTGCAACAAATCACGGTTTTATAAAAGTTGTTCAATGTCAACCAATATTTTTTGACTAGTTGTATATGAAAAGGGCTGCAATTGTTCCAAGTTTCAGTACTGCAGCGTAAATAGAAAAGGGAGATTTTTATATTTTTTTTCAACGAATTTTACACATTTTTAAGTGTAAATAAACAAACACACCTTTCAGATATAATCATTCTATGACACGTTTCTGACACATTAGCATATAATAAAGGTTCCGGAGGTAGTGAGTTTCCATAAAATATTTAGTTTTCCTAATACAAATATTCAAAGTTGGCCCCAAAAATTATGCAAATATGACATGTTTATTGCTATTATGAAACTAATTAATGAACTTAGGAAAAACCGCTTCCTAGAGATTTTAGAGACGTCAACTTTACATATTAGGTGTAAGTTTCATGTTAATTGAATAAAAATTGAAAGTTTTTTGAACGTTTATGTTAGTAGAAAATATTGAAAATATATAAGAAAATAATAAAGTCTAAGGTGCTGTCATCTGTAGCTGAGGTTGACATCAACCCGTTTTCTCCAAAATTGGCACCCTTACAGATAGGCATATGTGCAGTCAGGTGTATAAGTTACATGCAAATCGTCCGATAACAAAAAAAAATGAAAAAAAATATCAATTTCTTTTTAACTTAATTATTTTTCTAATAAAACTAATTATAATATTTGTTCTTAACATATGCTATTGTGATAGCTGAGAGTCATAGACATGATTTCACTTGACACTTGTGTTTGATAATCGTTTTTGACTATTTTGGAATAATTTTGACACCTACTTCACTATTTTTTTTCTCCCTTCCTATTTATGCTACGATGCTGAGACTTGGACCAGATGAAACCCTTTTCATATACAACTAGTCAAAAAAGTTTGATTGAAATCTATAAAGTTTTCATTTAATGCATTTTTTTGGAAATCTTGTGCCCTTGCCCCCTTAATTAAGACTGGAAGTGGGGAAAAGGTTAGGTATGGTTACTCTGTTAAGCTTCCAGTAATCGATTACAGGTCTCCATGTGCTATTTTGTTTTGGGACAAGAATAAATGGAGCATTCCATGGCGAGTTCCTTGGCTCAATTACATCATTTTGTAACATTTCCTCTATGAATATATCAGCTTCTGCTCTCAGAGAATGTGGTAGACGGCAAGCTAGTACTCAAATTAGTTTAGTTCCTTGCTGAAGAAGAATTTTATGAGTAATAAGAAGAGTGAGACCTAACTTTTCTCCTGGTAGAGCCACAACTATTCTATCCCTATTCAAAATTTCGAACATATGAACCACGGAGTCAGAGAAATCAGTAGGACTGAGGTGTTGCGTTTGCACCTCTGGCTGCGAGCCACGTTCTCCTGGTGTGAGTGAACACACAGTATGCTCCACACAGACATTGTCCACCACTCACACTGGTAATGAGTAATGGTCAAAATCTATAACTTGGGTGCCAGACTGCTGATGGATGTCGGCACTACTAGTGTTTGCAATGTTCAATGTAATGGTACACTCCTGCACTGTGTGCCAGGAGGGTTCAACAAATGACTGTTCATTTTACATGTATCACTTTCATGTTTTGATACTCACTCTCCTGAGCAACTGCACAACTATGATGCTTCAACTGAGTGCCTGGATCTGCATCCAGGATCTGACAAACCAACGCTAGCAAGTTGGCTGTCGACAAAATTAACATAATCTGTCTGACAGTTTACCTCATGACCCTGTCGATACATGCTACATAAGGGTACAACATGGTCCTTACTACTAATGTTCCAATGATGGGGAACAATGCAATATTTTAATCAATCATGGTGAACAAACCTAAGAGGATATCACCAGGAAAATGGATACTGTCAAGAACTAGGCATGCTATAGACAGCGTGATGTCCTTTAACTTGAGTGAGATGTCAATTTCCTCCTTAACTTACTTTATTTCCTGAAACACCAGACGGAAAAGGTATGGGTTATTTCCTTACTGTGGCAGGGTGCCTACTAGCACTATCTCTAAGAGCTGAGGGCTTGACAATATTTATTTTGGCACCTGAATCGAGAAAAACTATTAAAACTCTACCATGTCTCTAAGGCATACAAATACTGGTCCAATCGGCTGGTAAATGCACTATAGATGCATCAGGTTGCATGGTGGCATTGGCAATTTTCCTAACTAATCTATATGGGTCCAGGACTCCTTTGGTAACGAAAACGAGGGTAGAAAATTCTTTAAAATCTGCCCATGACAGGAGGCTAACAACAGCTTTTTCATCAACTACCACACAGGTATCCTCTTTGGTGGTGTCAATAGATGACCTAGCAAATGCTAAAGAATCATCGTCAGTAGGCTATGTAAAACGAGCTGTGGACTTTGCTTCAACTTTGCTAAACTATGATTCCAACAAGCAAGATTCTCCAGCAGAAATGGGAATAGCCATTTCCCAATCTGAACGCTAGACATTAGTACGAGCAACTGCTCCATTTATGTTAACCCTCAAATTGTAAGACGGTTGAGGTATAGTCAATCACAGAGGCGAGTAGGCCTCTGACGTCATTTCCCACACTGGTATACAGCTGGCTAATGTAGTCTCAATGTTCAAGCAAGGGAGTAAACAACCTGGTAGTGCAGTCCCAATGTTCAAGCAAGGAGGTAAACAACAGGCAAACGTAGTCCCAATTTTTAAGCAAGGGGGTAAACAACTGGCAAACGTAGTCCCAATGGTCAAGCAAGGGAGTAAACAACTGGCAAACGTAGTCCCAATGGTCAAGCAAGGGAGTAAACAACAGGCAAACGTAGTCCCAATGGTCAAGCAAGGGAGTAAACAACTGACAAACGTAGTCCCAATGGTCCAGCAAGGGAGTAAACAACTGGCAAACGGTGTCCCAATGTTCAAGCAAGGGAGTAAACAACTGACAAACGGTGTCCCAATGGTCAAGCAAGAGGGAACAAACAGGAATTACTAAATTACAGACCAGGGTCACTAAAATGTATTCCTTGTTAAGGGGTCCGGTAACTGAAGACTTTTCAAAATATGAATAATAGTGAAAATTTTTAAACAAATTTCCTGTTATTCAGCATCAGTGTCGTAAAAATTTCATCCCGTTATGTTAAGTATTTTTTAATGAATTTTGTAAAATTCATTAAAAATGAATTCATGCGTGCGGTGACGGGCAGCAACCGGTACTGATGATAATGATAACACTTATTTACTGGCAATCAGAGATAAAGAGATATAAGCTCCTGTCCGACGCACAAAGAAGAATAGTAGTAGTAAGGAGGGTCTACAGAGCTGATAGGCAGCTGGTGTCACCCTGATTGCCATTTTTCACAAATAATAATGAGTTAGTATATTATTATGCTATATGTTACTCTATATCATATAAATACATTGCCCAATGGCAATATTTGTCCGAAACGTTGACAACCAATTTTGACAACCCTTTGTACGAAAAGTTGACAACCAATTTTTATTTGTAGTGTTTTTTTTATTTTTTCATTTTTTTTCTCTCCTTTGTTTCAATGCGGATTTTGTTGTGACTTCTTCATCTTGCAGAATGTATATCCGGCACTAATCATGTGAAGTTGGAACGAAATTGGTAAAGAGGATAATGAGCCACTGGTGGCAGAAGTTGTGACTTATTTTTGGGGGCTGATTTATTTACCGACTTCAAACTATATTCTCTTTGTCTCTTTAGGTTGTATTGATGAATGAGGACCAACTGAGGACCTCATCACTTATATATGGGCAATAACGTTACTGCAATATATATGTTTGATATCACTATATATTTTTTTCAGTTTTATTTTTTTAATTAATTTCAAACCATATTGACCTACAACTTTTACATATTTGAGTATGAATGCCAAGCAATCTTAATTAAAACTTAAAAGATATGTCATAAATTCGAAGTACTATAAACATTGTCGAGAACTTTAACTTCATTTTTCTCTATGAACAAAATTTTCAACTTTGACAGACTGTCAAACATTCAGTCTCTGACCGATTCTCTCCATTTTAACACATTATGTGCAAAGTTCTTAATTCTAAAGAGTTCTTGTTGTGGTTTAGTCATAAGGCCATAACGTTGGAGTTATAAATTGTTTGCGTCTAAATTTTGCACATATTTGGATGGCAATATTGATTTTTTTATAGTAAACTATTCTCTAAAACAATATTTTGTTACATGAAACATGAACGTTATATGTCATTCTGTGACCATAATGAATAAAAAAACAATTGGGTACATATTAATTATTTGACACCAAATTTGAAATTGTGAATTTTTCGTATATTTTTTATTATATTTGTAACTTTTTTCTGTTCATGGAATGGATCAACTAATGTTGATTCATTGGAAAAAGTAGGAGTAGTTACCTTGAAGATTAAAGACAAAAAATATTTAATGTCTTTGAGGAAGTTTAGGTGCATCGTCACCGGTCCCCTATAATATGACAGAGTAATCAGCTTAAGAATAGTGGACCACCTCGGGAGGATTAACTTTGTAACAAAATAGGAGCATGGCTGTACAAGGGTAAAGTCATACCTGATGAATTATATCGAGTTATGATGAACAAACCACACATTTAAAGATTGAGAAACGACGACGTTTCGGTCCGTCCCGGAACATTACTAAATCGTCCTCATACACGACATTAAAATGGTCCAAGACGGACCGAAACGTCGTCGTTTCTCCATCGCCTGATGTGAAGTTTGGTCATCATATCTACAGCCACGTAATTTCGATTCACTGTGTTGATCAAGTTCTAAGACAAGGTTACAAAAATTCGACAGGAAAAAAAAGGGCTGGACATTGTATTTTCCTAAACTGACAAAAAACACTTGATACTTTTCACAATGGGAGACCGAGTTACAGGATACAGAAGCAGGGTTACAAGATAGAGTTACAGGGTTAACTGGGAAGGCACTAAACTGATTAAGGAAGAGGAGATCATCAGTTACAATCAGAAGCGAAGTGTGAAGCTGGAGTACCCCCCACAAGAGGGGATCCCAAAGGCTCGGGCTTTGCATGAATGGACTAGAGGGAGTGAGCATGTAAATGACAATGTTTTCAGACATTGCAAAGCGAACGGGTTATGTCAAAACACAGGACTGCTCAAAGTTACTAGTGAAAGACCTTGACAAACGTCATGATTGGCCAACAAATGGTTGGTGTAATAGGCAGTAATGGTAGGCAAGCACTTACATGAAACCAGAGCCTCATACTAACACAAAACAAAGGCTGCCAACCTGGTAGAGTTGTGTTGCCTCTCTCTCCCACCGTCTTGGGGATTTCTATCAGAATTCGCTCGTCTGCCGGGAGGTTCTTCAGTACAAGTTCCTGCAGGTCGTTTGTATACAAGTTGTAGTCGATGACCTTGGTGCCTCTGGAGAGTTTGTTGACAGTGTCCATGAAGCTCTGGGGAAAGATAATTGTCGATTAAAACAATGTGCAAACGCACTGCCTCAGACAAGCATGGAATAGTTTGTGATCTCACGGGGCCGGGTGTTCTCTTGAACGGTTCTTGGGTTGGGAGAACATTTTCTCCCGGTCAATTCTTGAGGATAAGAAGCGTTGAGACCCACATCAAACAAGATATAGTTTACATGATCACTCTCCATCACAGAGGGCATCAATAAGGAGTATCATTATCTCTTATAGAAGAAGGAAACACTTACACATGTTCAATAGCTTATAAGAGAAGGCTACACATACACGTGTTCAATAGCTTATAAGAGAAGGCTACACATACACGTGTTCAATAGCTTATAAGAGAAGGCTTCACTAACATGTGTTCAATAGTTAACAAGGTTCATCATGTGAACATAATACTAGTACATTTGAGGTTACTTTATGCTGTGGTCCAACCACTTTGGTTAGACAGTAGAGCGACGGTCTGGCTTCATGCAGGTCGGCGTTCAATCCCCAACCGTCCAATTGGTTGGGTACCATTACGTCTTCCCGTCCCAGCCCAAATCCTTATTCAGACCCTTTCCCAGTGATGAATAGTCGTAATTGCTTCCGTTTTCCCTGATAGTTCCCTTCCTTTCCGCTCCTTGGTCTCCGAAAAAAAGTGTGAATAACACTGTCATTATTCAAACGTAATAGGAACCAAGGTTCAGACGACAGTGCCAATTGAATGATATATTCCCCCCGAATGATGAGCGAAACACTAATGACCAGGCAATTACGCAGTGCTGCTTCCTGATCACTGATGTAATTACTAGGGACACACGGAACTCCTCTTAGATGCACGGTATGTAATGTGGAAAGTGTGTAGTACAGTGTGCTGCTGTGTGTAGTACAGTGGGTTGCTACGTGTAGTACAGTGGGCTGCTGTGTGTAGTACAGTGGGCTGCTGTGTGTAGTACAGTGGGTTGCTACGTGTAGTACAGTGGGCTGCTGTGTGTAGTACAGTGGGTTGCTACGTGTAGTACAGTGGGCTGCTGTGTGTAGTACAGTGGGCTGCTGTGTGTAGTACAGTGGGCTGCTGAGTGTAGTACAGTGGGCTGCTGTGTGTAGTACAGTGGGTTGCTACGTGTAGTACAGTGGGCTGCTGTGTGTAGTACAGTGGGCTGCTGTGTGTAGTACAGTGAGCTGCTGTGTGTAGTACAGTGGGCTGCTGTGTGTAGAACAGTAAGTTGATGTGTGTAGTACAGTGGGCTGCTGTGTGTAGTACAGTGGGCTGCTGTGTGTAGTACAGTGGGCTGCTGTGTGTAGTACAGTGGGCTGCTGAGTGTAGTACAGTGGGCTGCTGTGTGTAGTACAGTGGGCTGCTGTGTGTAGTACAGTGGGCTGCTGTGTGTAATACAGTGGGTTGCTGTGTGTAGTACAGTGGGCTGCTGTGTGTAGTACAGTGGGCTGCTGTGTGTAGTACAGTGGGCTGCTGTGTGTAGAACAGTGGGTTGCTGTGTGTAGTACAGTGGGCTGCTGTGTGTAGTACAGTGGACTGCTGTGTGTAGTACAGTGGGCTGCTGTGTGTAGTACAGTGGGCTGCTGTGTGTAGTACAGTGTGCTGCTGTGTGTAGTACAGTGGGCTGCTGTGAGTAGTGCAGTGGGCTGCTGTGTGTAGTACAGTGGGCTGCTGTGTGTAGAACAGTGGGCTGCTGTGAGTAGTGCAGTGGGCTGCTGTGTGTAGTACAGTGGGCTGCTGTGTGTAGTACAGTGGGCTGCTGTGTGTAGTACAGTGGGCTGCTGTGTGTAGAACAGTGGGCTGCTGTGAGTAGTACAGTGGGCTGCTGTGTGTAGTACAGTGGGTTGCTGTGTGTAGTACAGTGGGCTGCTGAGTGTAGTACAGTGGACTGCTGTGTGTAGTACAGTGGGCTGCTGTGTGTAGTACAGTGGGCTGCTGTGTGTAGAACAGTGGGCTGCTGTGTGTAGTACAGTGGGCTGCTGTGTGTAGAACAGTGGGTTGCTGTGTGTAGAACAGTGGGCTGCTGTGTGTAGTACAGTGGGCTGCTGTGTGTAGAACAGTGGGTTGCTGTGTGTAGTACAGTGGGCTGCTGAGTGTAGTACAGTGGACTGCTGTGTGTAGTACAGTGGGCTGCTGTGTGTAGTACAGTGGGCTGCTGTGTGTAGAACAGTGGGCTGCTGTGTGTAGTACAGTGGGCTGCTGTGTGTAGTACAGTGGGCTGCTGTGTGTAGTACAGTGTGCTGCTGTGTGTAGTACAGTGGGCTGCTGTGTGTAGTACAGTGGACTGCTGTGTGTAGTACAGTGGACTGCTGTGTGTAGTACAGTGGACTGCTGTGTGTAGTACAGTGGGCTGCTGTGTGTAGTACAGTGGGCTGCTGTGTGTAGTACAGTGGGCTGCTGTGTGTAGTACAGTGGGCTGCTGTGTGTAGTACAGTGGGCTGCTGTGTGTAGTACAGTGGGCTGCTGTGTGTAGTACAGTGGGCTGCTGTGTGTAGTACAGTGGGCTGCTGTGTGTAGTACAGTGGGCTGCTGAGTGTAGTACAGTGGGCTGCTGTGTGTAGTACAGTGGACTGCTGTGTGTAGTACAGTGGGCTGCTGTGTGTAGTACAGTGGGCTGCTGTGTGTAGTACAGTGGGCTGCTGTGTGTAGTACAGTGGACTGCTGTGTGTAGTACAGTGGGCTGCTGTGTGTAGTACAGTGGGCTGCTGTGTGTAGTACAGTGGGCTGCTGTGTGTAGTACAGTGGGCTGCTGAGTGTAGTACAGTGGGCTGCTGTGTGTAGTACAGTGGGCTGCTGAGTGTAGTACAGTGGGCTGCTGTGTGTAGTACAGTGGGCTGCTGAGTGTAGTACAGTGGACTGCTGTGTGTAGTACAGTGGGCTGCTGTGTGTAGTACAGTGGGCTGCTGTGTGTAGTACAGTGGGCTGCTGAGTGTAGTACAGTGGGCTGCTGTGTGTAGTACAGTGGACTGCTGTGTGTAGTACAGTGTGCGGCTGTATGTGGTACAGTAGGTTGCTATGTGTAGTACAGTGGGCTGATGTACTCAGCTAATTGTATTTACCTAATTGTGCTTGCGGGGGTTGAGCTCCTGCTCTTCGGTCCCGCCTCTCAACCGTCAATCAACAGGTGTACAGGTTCCATAGCCTATTGGGCTCTCTCATATCTACACTTGAAACTGTGTATGGAGTCAACCTCCACCACATCACTTCCTAATGCATTCCATTTGTCAACCACTCTGACACTAAAAAAGTTCTTTCTAATATCTCTGTGGCTCATTTGGACACTCAGTTTAAACCTGTGTCCCCTTGTGCGTGTGCCCCTTGTGTTAAATAGCCTGTCTTTATCTATCCTATCGACTCCAAAGAGAATATTCAATGTGGTGACTATGTCCCACTAACTCTTCTGTCTTCCAACGAAGTGAGGTTTAATTCACGTAGTCTCTCCTCGTAGTTCATACCTCTAAGCTCGAGTACTAGTCTGGTGGCAAACTTTTGAACCTTTTCCAGTTTAATCTTATGCTTGACTAGATATGGACTCCATGCTGGAGCCGCATACTCCAGGATTGGTCTGACAAATGTGGTATATAATGTTCTGAAAGATTCCTTGCAAAAGTTTCTAAAGGCCGTTCTTATGTTAGCCAACCTGGCATATGCTGTTGATGTTATCCTCTTGATATGAGCTTCAGGGGACAGGTCTGGCGTGATATCAACCCCCAGGTCTTTCTCTCTGACTGTGTGTAGTACAGTGGGCTGCTGAGTGTAGTACAGTGGGCTGCTGATTGTAGTACAGTGGGCTGCTGTGTGTAGTACAGTGTGCTGCTGTGTGTAGTACAGTGGGCTGTTGTGTATAGTACAGTGGGCTGCTGTGTGTAGTACAGTGGGCTGCTGTGTGAAGTACAGAGAGCTGTTGTGTTTAGAACTGTAGGCTGCTAAGAGTAGTAGAGTGGATGTGTTGTGTGTAGTACAGTGGGCTGCTGTGTGTAGTACAGTGGGCTGCTGTGTTTAGTACAGTGTGCTGCTGTGTGAAGTACAGAGAGCTGTTGTGTTTAGAACTGTAGGCTGCTAAGAGTAGTAGAGTGGATGTGTTGTGTGTAGTACAGTGGGCTGCTGTGTGTAGTACAGTGTGCTGCTGTGTGTAGTACAGTGGGTTGCTCTGTGTAGTACAGTGGGCTGCTGTGTGTATGATGACGCTGTAGTGTTGTGGGGTGTTGCTGTAGTGTTGTGGGGTGATGCTGTAGTGTTGTGGGGTGTTGCTGTAGTGTTGTGGGGTGATGCTGTAGTGTTGTGGGGTGATGCTGTAGTGTTGTGGGGTGATGGTGTAGTGTTGTGGGGTGATGCTGTAGTGTTGTGGGGTGATGCTGTAGTGTTGTGGGGTGGTGCTGTAGTGTTGTGGGGTGATGCTGTAGTGTTGTGGGGTGATGCTGTAGTGTTGTGGGGTGATGCTGTAGTGTTGTGGGGTGATGCTGTAGTGTTGTGGGGTGTTGCTGTAGTGTTGTGGGGTGATGCTGTAGTGTTGTGGGGTGGTGCTGTAGTGTTGTGGGGTGATGCTGTAGTGTTGTGGGGTGATGCTGTAGTGTTGTGGGGTGTTGCTGTAGTGTTGTGGGGTGATGCTGTAGTGTTGTGGGGTGTTGCTGTAGTGTTGTGGGGTGATGCTGTAGTGTTGTGGGGTGACGCTGTAGTGTTGTGGGGTGACGCTGTAGTGTTGTGGGGTGATGCTGTAGTGTTGTGGGGTGACGCTGTAGTGTTGTGGGGTGATGCTGTAGTGTTGTGGGGTGATGCTGTAGTGTTGTGGGGTGACGCTGTAGTGTTGTGGGGTGATGCTGTAGTGTTGTGGGGTGATGCTGTAGTGTTGTGGGGTGACGCTGTAGTGTTGTGGGGTGTTGCTGTAGTGTTGTGGGGTGATGCTGTAGTGTTGTGGGGTGTCAGCTCTACACCCGACACAAGGTCGGAGACGATTTCTGCATGACTCTTTGCCAGGCTTCGTTGCCTGCGTTATAGATCATTTTCTCTGCCGTGTAGTTATAAGAAACTTTATTTCTGGTTTGCCTGTCACTGGCACAACACCTGTCACTGGCACAACACCTGTCACTGGCACAACAGCACCTGTCACTGGCACAACAGCACCTGTCACTGGCACAACAACACCTGGCACAACAACACTGGCACAACAATAGAATTTTATGACCAGGCAACAAAAATTAGGCAGGAAAGAGAAGGGTGGGCCGACTGCATTTTCCTGGATTGCCAAAAAGCCTTTGACACGGTACCCCATAAAAGGTTGTTAAAAAAGTTGGAGCAACAGGCAGGAGTAAAAGGGAAGGTGCTCCAGTGGATAAGGGAGTACTTAAGCAACAGGAAACAGCGAGTAACGGTGAGGGGGAGACATCAGAGTGGCGAGATGTCACCAGCGGAGTCCCACAGGGCTCAGTACTTGGACCCATCCTGTTTCTAATATATGTGAACGATCTTCCAAAGGGTATAGACTCATTCCTCTCGATGTTTGCTGATGATGCAAAAATTATGAGAAGAATCAAGACGGATGAAGATAGACAGAGACTACAGGATGACCTGGATAAACTGGAGGAATGGTCTAGAAAATGGCTGCTAAAGTTCAACTCGGGAAAGTGTAAGGTGATGAAATTAGGCGAAGGGAGCAGGAGGCTGAACACAAGGTATCATCTGGGAGGGGAAATCCTGCAAGAGTCAAATAGAGAGAAGGATCTGGGGGTTGATATCACACCGAACCTGTCCCCAGAGGCCCACATCAAAAGAATATCATCAGCGGCATATGCTAGACTGGCCAACACAAGAACTGCCTTCAGAAACTTGTGTAAGGAATCTTTCAGAACCCTGTATACCACTTATGTAAGACCAATCCTGGAGTATGCAGCTCCAGCCTGGAGTCCATACCTAGTTAAACACAAGACAAAGTTAGAGAAGATTCAGCGGTATGCCACCAGGCTCGTCCCGGAACTGAAAGGATTGAGCTACGAGGAAAGGCTAAAGGAGCTGAACCTCACATCCCTGGAAAACAGAAGAGTAAGGGGAGACATGATAACCACCTACAAAATTCTCAGGGGAATTGACAGGGTGGACAAAGACAAACTCTTCAGCACGGGTGGGACACGAACAAGGGGACACAGGTGGAAACTTAGTACCCAGATGAGCCACAGAGACGTTAGAAAGAATTTTTTCAGTGTCAGAGTAGTTAATAAATGGAATGCACTAGGCAGTGATGTGGTGGAGGCTGACTCCATACACGGTTTCAAATGTAGATATGATAGAGCCCAATAGGCTCAGGAATCTGTACACCAGTTGATTGACAGTTGAGAGGCGGGACCAAAGAGCCAATGCTCAACCCCCGCAAGCACAATTAGGTGAGTACCTGTCACTGGCACAACAACACCTGTCACTGGCACAACAACACCTGTCACTGGCACAACAACACCTGTCACTGGCACAACAGCACCTGTCACTGGCACAACAACACCTGCCACTGGCACAACAACACCTGTCACTGACACAACACCTGTCACTGACACAACACCTGTCACTGACACAACACCTGTCACTGGCACAACAACACCTGTCACTGGCACAACAACACATGTCACTAGCACAACAACACCTGTCACTGACACAACAACACCTGGCACTGGCACAATACCTGCGAGTCACTGGCACAATACCTGCGAGTCACTGGCACAATACCTGCGAGTCACTGGCACAACACCTGCGAGTCACTGGCACAACAACACCTGTCACTGGCACAACAACACCTGTCACTGGCACAACAACACCTGTCACTGGCACAACAACACCTGTCACTGGCACAACAACACCTGTCACTGGCACAACAACACCTGTCACTGGCACAACAACACCTGTCACTGGCACAACAACACCTGTCACTGGCACAACAGCACCTGTCACTGGCACAACAACACCTGCCACTGGCACAACAACACCTGTCACTGACACAACACCTGTCACTGACACAACACCTGTCACTGACACAACACCTGTCACTGGCACAACAACACCTGTCACTGGCACAACAACACATGTCACTAGCACAACAACACCTGTCACTGACACAACAACACCTGGCACTGGCACAATACCTGCGAGTCACTGGCACAATACCTGCGAGTCACTGGCACAATACCTGCGAGTCACTGGCACAACACCTGCGAGTCACTGGCACAACAACACCTGTCACTGGCACAACAACACCTGTCACTGGCACAACAACACCTGTCACTGGCACAACAACACCTGTCACTGGCACAACAACACCTGTCACTGGCACAACAACACCTGTCACTGGCACAACACACCTGTCACTAGCACAAACACCTGTCACTAGCACAACAACACCTGTCACTAGCACAACAACACCTGTCACTAGCACAACAACACCTGTCACTAGCACAACAACACCTGTCACTGGCACAACAACACCTGTCACTAGCACAACAACACCTGTCACTGGCACAACAACACCTGTCACTGGCACAACAACACCTGTCACTGGCACAACAACACCTGTCACTGGCACAACAACACCTGTCACTGGCACAACAACACCTGTCACTGGCACAACACCTGTCACTAGCACAACAACACCTGTCACTAGCACAACAACACCTGTCACTAGCACAACAACACCTGTCACTCGCACAACAACACCTGTCACTAGCACAACAACACCTGTCACTGGCACAACAACACCTGTCACTAGCACAACAACACCTGTCACTGGCACAACAACACCTGTCACTAGCACAACAACACCTGTCACTAGCACAACAACACCTGTCACTAGCACAACAACACCTGTCACTGGCACAACAACACCTGTCACTCACCTGTCACTAGCACAACAACACCTGTCACTGGCACAACAACACCTGTCACTGGCACAGCAACACCTGTCACTAGCACAACAACACCTGTCACTAGCACAACAACACCTGTCACTGGCACAACAACACCTGTCACTAGCACAACAACACCTGTCACTGGCACAACAACACCTGTCACTAGCACAACAACACCTGTCACTGGCACAACAACACCTGTCACTGGCACAACAACACCTGTCACTGGCACAACAACACCTGTCACTGGCACAACAACACCTGTCACTGGCACAACAACACCTGTCACTAGCACAACAGCACCTGTCACTGGCACAAAAACACCTGTCACTAGCACAACAACACCTGTCACTAGCACAACAACACCTGTCACTAGCACAACAACACCTGTCACTAGCACAACAGCACCTGTCACTGGCACAACAACACCTGTCACTGGCACAACAACACCTGTCACTGGCACAACAACACCTGTCACTAGCACAACAACACCTGTCACTAGCACAACAGCACCTGTCACTGGCACAACAACACCTGTCACTGGCACAACAACACCTGTCACTGGCACAACAACACCTGTCACTGGCACAACAACACCTGTCACTAGCACAACAACACCTGTCACTGGCACAACAACACTTGTCACTGGCACAACAACACCTGTCACTAGCACAACAACACTTGTCACTGGCACAACAACACCTGTCACTGGCACAACAGCACCTGTCACTGGCACAACAACACCTGTCACTGGCACAACAACACCTGTCACTAGCACAACAACACCTGCACTGGCACAATAACACCTGTCACTGGCACAACAACACCTGTCACTGGCACAACAACACCTGTCACTGGCACAACAGCACCTGTCACTGGCACAACAACACATGTCACTGGCACAACAACACCTGTCACTGGCACAACAACACCTGCCACTGGCACAATACCTGCGAGTCACTGGCACAACACCTGCGAGTCACTGGCACAATACCTGCGAGTCACTGGCACAACACCTGCGAGTCACTGGCACAATACCTGCGAGTCACTGGCACAACACCTGCGAGTCACTGGCACAACAACAACTGTCACTGGCACAATACCTGCGAGTCACTGGCACAACAACTGCACCAACACATGTCATCAGTAGAGAAAGCAAACATCAGTAATATCTGTAATAAAAGTCAATGCCGGAACTGTGCAGTAAACACCCACCTTCATCAACACCGTGGCAAGTACAATAACAAGAACAAGAACATCACAATAACACTAGCGAACAAGATAACTTGCTGTAAACAAACAATCCAAACATAAAGATAAAATGACTACCAAATACTAGCAAGCGAGCCTTGTTGACAACCACTGGACATCCATTGTTGCCAAACTCATCTTCAGGGTAATGCTATACGCTTATAATATTTCCTCCACTCTGACAGAACTGCCGATCAGTTTACTCACATATAAGATGACGGGCCACTCCTGGAGAATGACTCCCATGGGTGAGTCGTGGGTGCAGTTGGGGAATGGGCACAAGTTATTGGGCAGGGAGACAGCGGCGCCTGAATTTCCCACCTCCAGCCTCTGTAGGTCGCGCCTCGTCGTCCTGGTCACAAGACAACAACACTAATTAATTTTCCTTAAAACTCCCAAATTTGGTTTAATTTTATATAATTCAAGTTCAAGTATGTTTATTGAGACAAGAAAGAAATACATCTCAAAGGGGTAGAGTAGGTTACGTTATTTCTACCCCCTCGTTTATATAATGTATTGTTCATCCTCTCGAATTTAAAGATCAAAATATAACACTCCAGGTCTACTCCATATGTGGGTCATATCTAATATGTCAGTGTAATATGAGATAATTCTCATTCACCTTCTCATTACTTTAAGTATTACATGTGCCTTATTGTTTGGAGAGGGTATGGGTCTTATTGTATGGAGAGGGCACGGGCCTTCTCATTGAGAGTGTGTAGCTCTGAGCAGTGACACACAGCATCAATGTGGGTGTACCTCTGAGCAGTGACACACAGCATCAATGTGGGTGTAGCTCTGAGCAGTGACACACAGCATCAATGTGGGTGTATCTCTGAGCAGTGACACACAGCATCACTGTGTGTGTAGCTCTGAGCAGTGACACACAGCATCAATGTGGGTGTACCTCTGAGCAGTGACACACAGCATCACTGTGTGTGTAGCTCTGAGCAGTGACACACAGCATCAATGTGTGTGTAGCTCTGAGCAGTGACACACAGCATCAATGTGTGTGTAGCTCTGAGCAGTGACACACAGCATCAATGTGTGTGTAGCTCTGAGCAGTGACACACAGCATCAATGTGTGTGTAGCTCTGAGCAGTGACACACAGCATCAATGTGTGTGTAGCTCTGAGCAGTGACACACAGCATCAATGTGTGTGTAGCTCTGAGCAGTGACACACAGCATCAATGTGTGTGTAGCTCTGAGCAGTGACACACAGCATCAATGTGTGTGTAGCTCTGAGCAGTGACAAATAGAATATTGACGCAGCCATCGTCAGAACAAAAACAGTGGTGTTAGTTCTTACTTCCCCATGGTGATGTGGACACCATTGGGCGTACTGATGTTGTGCATCTCTCCCACCACGTACATCTTCATCATCTTCATCTGCAGGGTGTTGAGTACCTCGTCCGACCCCGGCACCTGCAACACCACACCTGTTATACTGTGTCCGACCCCGGCACCTGCAACACCACACCTGTTATACTGTGTCCGACCTCGGCACCTGCAACACCACACCTGTTATACTGTGTTCACCCCGGCACCTAGCTGCAACACCACACCTGTTATACTGTGTCCGACCCCGGCACCTGCAACACCACACCTGTTATACTGTGTTCATCCCGGCACCTGCAACACCACACCTGTTATACTGTGTCCGACCCCGGCACCTGCAACGCCACACCTGTTATACAGTGTTCACCCCGGCACCTGCAACACCACACCTGTTATACTGTGTTCTCCCCGGCACCTGCAACACCACACCTGTTATATTGTGTTCACTCTATCGAATGGAGAACACGATGCCCAATACAATGTTCACCCCGGCTCATGGAGAACACACCGGTCATTATAATGTTCACCGCGGCTCATGGAGAACACACCGGTCATTATAATGTTCACCGCGGCTCATGGAGAACACAGCAGCCATTATAATGTTCACCGCGGCTCATGGAGAACACACCGGTCATTATAATGTTCACCGCGGCTCATGGAGAACACACCGGTCATTATAATGTTCACCGCGGCTCATGGAGAACACAGCAGCCATTATAATGTTCACCGCGGCTCATGGAGAACACACCGGTCATTATAATGTTCACCGCGGCTCATGGAGAACACAGCAGCCATTATAATGTTCACCGCGGCTCATGGAGAAAACAGCAGCCATTATAATGTTCATCGCGGCTCATGGAGAACACAGCAGACATAATAATGTTCACCGCGGCTCATGGAGAACACAGCAGACATAATAATGTTCACCCTGGCTCATGGAGAACACAGCAGACATAATAATGTTCACCCTGGCTCATGGAGAACACAGCAGACATAATAATGTTCACCCTGGCTCATGGAGAACACAGCAGACATAATAATGTTCACCCTGGTTCATGGAGAACACAGCAGACATAATAATGTTCACCCTGGCTCATGGAGAACACAGCAGACATAATAATGTTCACCCTGGCTCATGGAGAACACAGCAGTCATTATAATGTTCACCCTGGCTCATGGAGAACACGGCAGTCATTAAAATGTTCAACCTGGCTCATGGAGAACACGGCAGTCATTAAAATGTTCACTGCGGCATCCAAGTCATCTTGAGTATAGAGAGTCATTGTTTTTAATGCTGTAGATTGCCATCTGAATTTTTGTTCATCTTAATTTAATTTAATAATTTCGCAAAATAATTTATTGTTGATGTAGCCTGCTAATGTGTCTGGTAGGGTGCATGTATCCTTCAATTGTCTGGTAGGGTGCATGTGGCCAGCTATTGTGTCTGGTAGGGTGCATGTGGCCAGCTATTGTGTCTGGTAGGGTGCATGTGGCCAGCTATTGTGTCTGGTAGGGTGCATGTGGCCAGCTATCGTGTCTGGTAGGGTGCATGTTGCCAGCTATTGTGTCTGGTAGGGTGCATGTGGCCAGCTATTGTGTCTGGTAGGGTGCATGTATCCGTCAATTGTCTGGTAGGGTGCATGTGGCCAGCTATTGTGTCTGGTAGGGTGCATGTATCCGTCAATTGTCTGGTAGGGTGCATGTGGCCAGCTATTGTGCCTGGTAGGGTGCATGTGGCCAGCTATTGTGTCTGGTAGGGTGCATGTGGCCAGCTATTGTGTCTGGTAGGGTGCATGTATCCGTCAATTGTCTGGAAGGGTGCATGTGGCCAGCTATTGTGTCTGGTAGGGTGCATGTGGCCAGCTATTGTGTCTGGTAGGGTGCATGTGGCCAGCTATTGTGTCTGGTAGGGTGCATGTATCCGTCAATTGTCTGGTAGGCTGCATGTGGCCAGCTATTGTGTCTGGTAGGGTGCATGTGGCCAGCTATTGTGTCTGGTAGGGTGCATGTGGCCAGCTATTGTGTCTGGTAGGGTGCATGTGGCCAGCTATTGTGTCTGGTAGGGTGCATGTGGCCAGCTATTGTGTCTGGTAGGGTGCATGTGGCCAGCTATTGTGTCTGGTAGGGTGCATGAGGCCAGCTATTGTGTCTGGTAGGGTGCATGTGGCCAGCTATTGTGTCTGGTAGGGTGCATGTGGCCAGCTATTGTGTCTGGTAGGGTGCATGTGGCCAGCTATTGTGTCTGGTAGGGTGCATGTGGCCAGCTGTTGTCTCTGGTAAGGTGCATGTGGCCAGCTATTGTGTCTGGTAGGGTGCATGTGGCCAGCTATTGTGTCTGGTAGGGTGCATGTGGCCAGCTGTTGTCTCTGGTAAGGTGCATGTGGCCAGCTATTGTGTCTGGTAGTATGCATGTGGTCAGGTATTGTTGCAACCGGCAGCAGGCGAGGACACAAGGAGGCAGGAAGCTGGCGAGAACACAAGGAGGCAGACAGCTGGCGAGGACACAAGAAGGCAGGGAGCTGGCGAGGACACAAGGAGGCAGGCAGCTGGCGAGGACACAAGGAGGCAGGCAGCTGGCGAGGACACAAGGAGGCAGGCAGCTGGCGAGGACACAAGAAGGCAGGGAGCTGGCGAGGACACAAGGAGGCAGACAGCTGGCGAGGACACAAGGAGGCAGGAAGCTGGCGAGGACACAAGGAGGCAGACAGCTGGCGAGGACACAAGGAGGCAGGCAGCTGGCGAGGACACAAGAAGGCAGGCAGCAGGCGAGGACACAAGGAGGCAGGCAGCTGGCGAGGACACAAGGAGGCAGGCAGCTGGCGAGGACACAAGAAGGCAGGGAGCTGGAGAGGACACAAGGAGGCAGGGAGCTGGCGAGGACACAAGAAGGCAGGCAGCTGGCGAGGACACAAGAAGGCAGGCAGCTGGCGAGGACACAAGGAGGCAGGCAGCTGGCGAGGACACAAGGAGGCAGGGAGCTGGCGAGGACACAAGGAGGCAGGCAGCTGGCGAGGACACAAGGAGGCAGGCAGCAGGCGAGGACACAAGGAGGCAGGCAGCTGGCGAGGACACAAGGAGGCAGACAGCTGGCGAGGACACAAGGAGGCAGGCAGCTGGCGAGGACACAAGGAGGCAGGCAGCTGGCGAGGACACAAGAAGGCAGGCAGCTGGCGAGGACACAAGGAGGCAGACAGCTGGCGAGGACACAAGGAGGCAGGGAGCTGGCGAGGACACAAGGAGGCAGGCAGCTGGCGAGGACACAAGAAGGCAGGCAGCTGGCGAGGACACAAGAAGGCAGGCAGCTGGCGAGGACACAAGGAGGCAGGCAGCTGGCGAGGACACAAGGAGGCAGGCAGCTGGCGAGGACACAAGGAGGCAGGCAGCTGGCGAGGACACAAGGAGGCAGGGAGCTGGAGAGGACACAAGGAGGCAGGGAGCTGGCGAGGACACAAGAAGGCAGGCAGCTGGCGAGGACACAAGGAGGCAGGGAGCTGGCGAGGGTGCAAGGAGGCAGGCAGCTGGCGAGGACACAAGGAGGCAAGGAGCTGGCGAGGACACAAGGAGGCAGACAGCTGGCGAGGACACAAGGAAGCAGGCATCTGGCGAGGTCACAAGGAGGCAGGCAGTTGGCGAGGACACAAGGAGGCAGGGAGCTGGCGAGGACCAAAGGAGGCAGACAGCTGGCGAGGACACAAGGAGGCAGGCAGCTGGCGAGGACACAAGGAGGCAGGGAGCTGGCGAGGGTGCAAGGAGGCAGGCAGCTGGCGAGGACACAAGGAGGCAAGGAGCTGGCGAGGACACAAGGAGGCAGACAGCTGGCGAGGACACAAGGAAGCAGGCATCTGGCGAGGTCACAAGGAGGCAGGCAGTTGGCGAGGACACAAGGAGGCAGGGAGCTGGCGAGGACCAAAGGAGGCAGACAGCTGGCGAGGACACAAGGAGGCAGGCAGCTGGCGAGGACACAAGGAGGCAGGCAGCTGGCGATGACACAAGGAGGCAGGCAGCTGGCGAGGACACAAGGAGGCAGGCAGCTGGCGAGGACACAAGGAGGCAGGGAGCTGGCGAGGACACAAGGAGGCAGGGAGCTGGCGAGGACACAAGGAGGCAGACAGCTGGCGAGGACCAAAGGAGGCAGACAGCTGGCGAGGACACAAGGAGGCAGGCAGCTGGCGAGGACACAAGGAGGCAGGCAGCTGGCGAGGACACTAGGGGGCAGAGAGTTGGCGAGGACAGAAGGAGGCAGGCAGCTGGCGAGGACACAAGGAGGCAGGCAGCTGGCGAGGACACAAGGAGGCAGGCAGCTGGCGAGGACACAAGGAGGCAGGGAGCTGGCGAGGACACAAGGAGGCAGACAGCTGGCGAGGACCAAAGGAGGCAGACAGCTGGCGAGGACACAAGGAGGCAGGCAGCTGGCGAGGACACAAGGAGGCAGGCAGCTGGCGAGGACACTAGGGGGCAGAGAGTTGGCGAGGACAGAAGGAGGCAGGCAGCTGGCGAGGACACAAGGAGGCAGGCAGCTGGCGAGGACCAAAGGAGGCAGACAGCTGGCGAGGACACAAGGAGGCAGGCAGCTGGTGAGGACACAAGGAGGCAGGCAGCTGGCGAGGACACAAGGAGGCAGGCAGCTGGCGAGGACACAAGGAGGCAGGGAGCTGGCGAGGACACTAGAAGGCAGGGAGCTGGCGAAGACACAAGAAGGCAGGCAGCTGGCGAGGACACAAGAAGGCAGGCAGCTGGCGAGGACCAAAGGAGGCAGACAGCTGGCGAGGACACAAGGAGGCAGGCAGCTGGCGAGGACACAAGAAGGCAGGCAGCTGGCGAGGACACAAGGAGGCAGGCAGCTGGCGAGGACAGAAGGAGGCAGGCAGCTGGCGAGGACCAAAGGAGGCAGACAGCTGGCGAGGACACAAGGAGGCAGGCAGCTGGCGAGGACACAAGGAGGCAGGCAGCTGGCGAGGACACAAGAAGGCAGGCAGCTGGCGAGGACACAAGGAGGCAGGCAGCTGGCGAGGACACAAGGAGGCAGGCAGCTGGCGAGGACACAAGGAGGCAGGCAGCTGGCGAGGACACAAGGAGGCAGGCAGCTGGCGAGGACCAAAGGAGGCAGACAGCTGGCGAGGACACAAGGAGGCAGGCAGCTGGCGAGGACACAAGGAGGCAGGCAGCTGGCGAGGACACAAGGAGGCAGGGAGCTGGCGAGGACACAAGGAGGCAGGCAGCTGGCGAGGACACAAGAAGGCAGGGAGCTGGCGAGGACACAAGGAGGCAGGCAGCTGGCGAGGACACAAGGAGGCAGGCAGCTGGCGAGGACCAAAGGAGGCAGACAGCTGGCGAGGACACGAGGAGGCAGGCAGCTGGCGAGGACACAAGGAGGCAGGCAGCTGGCGAGGACACAAGAAGGCAGGCAGCTGGCGAGGTCACAAGGAGGCAGGCAGCTGGCGAGGACACAAGAAGGCAGGGAGCTGGCGAGGACACAAGAAGGCAGGCAGCTGGCGAGGACACAAGAAGGCAGGCAGCTGGCGAGGACACAAGAAGGCAGGGAGCTGGCGAGGACACAAGGAGGCAGGCAGCTGGCGAGGACACAAGAAGGCAGGGAGCTGGCGAGGACACAAGAAGGCAGGCAGCTGGCGAGGACACAAGAAGGCAGGCAACTGACGAGGACACAAGTAGGTAGGCAGCTGGCGAGGACACAAGGAGGCAGGCAGCTGGCGAGGACGGTCGTGTTACAACAGGAAGGTCGAAGGGTCGAGTCTCGCGGCAGGACAGAAGCGTATGGGCAATATTTACCTGATGCTTCTGTTCACCTTGGAGCACCCTACAACCAGCACCTACCTGGGAGGTAGGGAACTGTTTGGGGTGCATCCTTGAGCAGGTCAGTGGGTGGCCCGGTAGGCCTACCCTTCCTGACTGAGGCAAACCATAAGGTGAACTATTATTTAAGTGCCATTTTAAATATTACAAATTAAAACAATATTATGGCCTAAAAAAATAACAATTATAAACAAAAAATTCTTAATTTCTGTAGCGGGTCTGGCAGTGAGCATTATGGAAATGCCATCAACATTAATTATATAGCGCGACGTTTATTAGATTACAGTACAAAATGTTCCGAGATAATTTTCGCCTTTAAAAAAAACAAAAAATTAAATGTATAAAACATTCAAAAATATTTCTTATATAAATATTTCTGGCTATACAAACATATCTACTTTAATTTATCTGACCACATTTTAAAACCACAAAGCAAAAGTAAATTGTATTCCCAATATTTTGTGCACTTGCACCAGATAAAATACCCTACAGCCTCCCTATTCCCTTCACAACACGTAAGAAAAATAGCTAATTACAAATAACTCCCACCAATATTCCTAAGGAATTAGATCTCTCCTGGTACACATATGAGAGGAAGACCAGGCAAAGTCCAGTGCAGGCTGGACGTAATATATAACATATTATTATTATGAGGTAATTACTTACTATAGTCTGGGCTCGCTGCTTCGTCTGGTCCCCCACGTTGCACTTGACGCCGTCCATCGGGTCCTTCTCCACCACCATGTTCACTGCCGACACAAACAGTATTCTTACTGAGCAAATCCGTAGGAGCCATGATGAGGATTCGAACTTATGCACTGGGTGTTCCCAGACACACGCCTCAGACAACTAGGCCACAAAATGGCAGCCCGTCCTCTAAACAAAGACCCAAAGTCCTTTCCATGCACCCACCAAACCCCCTGTTTATGAATGAAAAATGGTTTACAAACGACTAACAACTGATGACGTCCGAACTCTTCCAGAACAAGTGCTTCCGAAGCTGACGACTTTTGTTCAAGCCACAACGCTGTAAACAGCCCATCCTCCAAACAAAGCAACCCGTCCTCGAAAGAAGTCCATTACATCCAGTGGTCGACCCACAGACGCATTCATCAATTTTTACATGCTGTTCATTCAAAACGGAAATTTTCTCAAATATAAATTAATATTATTAGCATATTGTGCATATATAGGCATAGGTTAGGTTAGGTTAGGTGTTTAGGTTCTGTTGGCGATTATTTGTAATTGTAGACCATGGGTGAAGCATTTACAGCATTGTGGTTCAAACAAAATTCGTTAGTGAAGCCGTTGTTCCGGAAGTGTCCGAACGAAATCAGTTGTGAGTCGTGTGTAAACCATTTTTCATTCATAAACAGGGGGTTTGGCGGGTACATGGAATCATTTTTGGGTCTTTGTTTGAAGGACGGGCTGAAGAAGTGCATACCATGTGTATATATAGTGTCATAGTGCCATAGTGATATATACATCTCAAAGTGCCAACTCCGATATACAGTACAGTGTTGTCGTTATAAATGCCGATTATTTCAGTGTTGCTTGTTAAGATTTCTCTGGTGCTTGTCTGGTTGTGTGAGGGGATTATATGCTCCGTAATAGAGCCCTGTTGCTTGGGCATGATGCTGATTCCTCTTGATGTTTCTATATTGGTTCAGAGTCTTGAAGTGGGTAGAATATAATTGTGCATTAATTGGCTGTTGATTGCTGGTGATGACTTTTTGATGTGTAACACAATGTGTTACACATCAACATGATCATCCACATCAACACATGATTGATGTGTTGACTTTTTGACACATCAAAAAGTCAACACCAGCAATCAACAGCCAATTAATGCACAATTATATTCTACCCACTTCAAGGCTCCGAGTCAATATAGAAGCATCAAGAGGAAGTATGGGCAAATAGGCCCTCTGCAGTTACTTCCATTCTTATATTCTCATATCCAATTAATACCCATAGTTTCGTGTTTTGTCTTGTATTTGTCACAAGTTTGTTCACCTCATCCAAAACTGTTGCGCCATATCACCTCACCTAAATGCGAGTAAAAGTATGACGGATTTGCTGACTCTGATTAGTGTTTTCAGGTTACAGTTGTGTGTGTAAACTGAATTCTTTGAAAATGTAATAAGTTATTACGAAACGCGTTCATGCGTCGCGTCAGACTAGAAATAAAAATGAATTTTGGAGAATTGATTTTTCAATTATCATCGACAGTAAAAAGAAATATTGAGAAAATTCGTGTTAGAATTATTAATCTTACTTTTCTTACTTAGGGTTGGTTAGGTTCGGTCATATATCTACGTTAGTTTTAACTCCAATAAAAAAATGGACCTCATACATAATGAAATGGGTAGCTTTATAATTTCATAAGAAAAAAATTAGAGAAAATATATTAATTCAGGAAAACTTGGCTTATTAGGCAAATCGGGCCTTGCATAGTAGGTTGAGAAGTGCGTTCTGGCTACTAGGTACGACATATATACATATATATATATATATATGTCGTACCTAGTAGCCAGAATGCACTTCTCGGCCTACTATGCAAGGCCCGATTTGCCTAATAAGCCAAGTTTTCCTGAATTAATATATTTTCTGTAATTTTTTTCTTATTAAATGATAAAGCTACCCATTTCATTATGTATGAGGTCAATTTTTTTTATTGGAGTTAAAATTAACATAGATATATGAACGAACCTAACCAACCCTACCTAACATAACCTAACCTATCTTTATAGGTTAGGTTAGGTTAGGTAGCCGAAAACGTTAGGTTAGGTTAGGTTAGGTAGGTTAGGTTGTCGAAAAAACAATAATTCATGAAAACTAGGCTTATTAGGCAAATCGGGCCATGCATAGTAGGCTGAGAAGTGAGTTCTGGCTACTAGGTACGACATATATATATATATATATATATATATATATATATATATATATATATATATATATATATATATATATATATATATATATATATATATATATATATATATATATATTCTTACTTTGACCAGTATGCAAGCCCCGATTTGCCTAACAAGCCGAGACATAATTATCTGAAAGAATATATTTTTCTAAGATTTATACTTATGAAATGAAAAAGTTTTCCATTACATTATATATAATTTGTATTTTTCATTTGAGTTAAGACTAATGTAGAAATATCACCTAACCTAACATACGTAACTTAAGATAACAAAGTAAATCATAGCAGTAAATCATGTTCTTAATATAATAATATTAAAAAAATTAAATTTTTGGGACTTGTTTGGGAAAATCGGGGACAATTTGTCCAGTAACAATCGTCCAGGTGCTTCTCTTCACAAGTTCAGATACGACATGTTTTTACAATATACTATTTTGTGCGTACACATAAGGGGCATAACTGGCCTCGGATGCATTTCCGACGGTTCCTTTCATATAAAAGGGGTGACGCCGAGGAAAATACGACTCGCGTCCCTACCAAAACATAAATGACACACACACTCTCTCTCACCCTCTCTCAACGAGAAGCATCATTCTCCTGCAACGTAGGATAAGCATGTCTCATAGAAAGCGCAACAACCCGGGAATCCAACACCCACGAGGGCCTACCCCAACCAACACTGTCGGGAAACCGACACACACACAACCACACACACACAAATAACACAGTCTCCCCTAGTCTGTACTCCCTTCAGGATGGAAAATGGGAGACTCCGTGACGTCATCGACTCCGTGACGTCATGGAATTCATTGTATATTTACATTATGAAACATTGTTAATAGACTAGTTTAGTCTCTAGAGTTGATAAAAAAGTAATCAATAAGAATGAATATAATTATTTACACAGTATTGTAGCTAGGTTCCCTTGTTAATGTAAAATTACTTTGAGTGAGGAACCAGCGTTAAGGGCGTTGCCCGAGAGAGGAAGGCGTCCACATACACAACAACAACAACCATAGCAGCCGACCACGCTGTATTGGCTAACTGGTGTATACAGCTAGACACCCCATTTACGTGTCAACACCAGCAACACAGCCTAACAACATCACAACAACGACTGTATCCGTCTACCAAGTATTGTTTATTATTCAAGTGCACTGTTTAATATTTTTATGGGTAGATGGTTAGGTCGTGGGAGAAACCCAAAAACACTGTACGTGTACCCCATTACAACCCTCACAGTTCATGTCATACCTGTAATTGATATGTTTAGGGAACTTTGATTAATTCCTTGCATCCCATACAGGTAAATTGTGAGAGGAGCTTCAAGAAGTAGAGCAGACAGTTGGTTCACACACATAATTAACTACTTGTTTGCCAAGCCTTGTCCTTCCCACCAGCCGCCATTATGTGGCACAAAGAGGCAGGGCCACACCCATTCTGAGGCTACACCTACACGCCTTACTAGGCCCATTCTACTGGCATAGCTAAGCCAATTATGATTTTAATAACAGTAGTTATAATTAATTATTATATTATAAGTAGTTTAGACCACCATATGTGGTACACTATATAATGAAATAACTGAAATAATAGTTTTAAAGGTAAACAATTGGTAGTTTAAGAAGGAGCCATAACAAAGTGGTTTAGGCTACCAATTGTCCCTCCCAATAGTGTGTAAGAAGATTTCAGGCAGTTTACCAGTACATACAGTCCACTTAATTAATACTTACTTACTAAGAAAATAAATAAGACATAACTTTATTTTATTAAATCAATTTGAAAAAGAGAGATTAGCTGCCTGGAATTTCCCCACATTATTTGGTCCTACGGAACCGGATTATTTAGTTCTTTGAACTAGATATTATACATACATATAGTGATAGTGCAATATTACCTACACACATTATAGCAGGAAGACACTGCTATATTTTTTGCATTTTTTCTAGCCTAACTTTTCAATCTCATAGCAAACAGAACTTACAACAAGCACTATTATTGTTCTGGCAGTACCAAAGGAACAATTGTGCTTTTTTCATTTCATTACAAGAGGTTGATAAGAGGCTACTTTACTTATAAGTTACTTATAAATGTTTTTTTGTAATTATTGCATTATTATTGCCATTACTGTAACATTTACTGCATGCCACATTATTTACTACTAATTCTTGCACAAGGGTAGAACATTTTAGGCTGGTGTTGTACAGCAACCTAGTCTAATTTATTGTGCTAACCTGGTGTAAGGGTAAGAATTTTACACTGGTCTAGAGTTGAACACATATTACAACCTAGCAAGTACATATTTTTATGCAGTATTTAAGACAACCCGAGTTGTGTTGTCAATATGATATCAATATAACTATAGTATAATTTAACTATAATCATTTCACCTTTGAGTGTTAACCTGTGTCTCTGTATCAACCAAGAGTGATAATGATGGGCTAACTTGCGGATACCAGCATTGATACAGGTCTACCACTCAAATTATAATGTGTATGATTATACAGTGTATATTTAAATGAAAAGTAGCTCTAGTTCGGAAACTAGTGGCCTTACTAATACAAGTGCCATAAATAGTCCTGACACTAGTCTATACGACTAACAAGTACTTCCAAGATGTCTACTGTCAAAAATGTACAAATAACCCTCACAGGATTGAAGGATCATTTGTCACGGCAGATTAGCACATGTGAAAACATGAGTAAACAAACTCCAGTTAACTATGTAGCATTGGAAAATTATCTTAGGCTTGCACGGAACAAATATGACCGTGTGTTGCAACAAATGAAAGAATATCAAGTTTTACTTCAG